TTGCCTTTACACGTTTGGCAGGCCTCTTCATTGCCAGTTTAAATCTCTTCTTAAAACGTACCTCTTTTCCTTGGTTTTTCACACAGTCTGAGATGTTGTCTTTTTATTGGTTAACTGTTTTTACACATGTTGCATGTCTTTTTTTGTATTTAATTATTATTGTACAGCACTTTGGGCAACATTGTTGTTTTTAAAAAGTGTTTCATAAATAAAATTGGATTGGATTGGAGAGAGAAAATCAACAACAGTTATCATTAACAGTTATTGACCAAAATATATTTTAAAAAAGTGACAATCAGTTTACATCTTTTAACAAAATCAAAATTTAATATGTAAACTAATCAATTTTCAGTGCATTTCAATGTATTGCTCTGATTGAACTAATTTGTCCATGAAGGACATGGAATTTGTCCTTAAAACAAGTTCCAGTACATGAGAAAAAACAGCTTTTCAACATTAACATGAAGCACAAGATCTAAGGAGACATTCTCAAATCACTGAGTACAACAAGTCATATTTCCTTTTGGTTTCATACACAAAACATCAACAAAGTTCAGTAAAAGTACACTTACAAAATGCAAATTCATAAATCACATACTGTATTAGATTCAATTAATTCAGTGTTTTAACACTGGCTTTGTAAGCCTGCCTCATGAGCCTACAACATTATTAAAACCATTAAAACCACCAACCACCCAGCTATGTTGTTAGTGAAGCTGATAGAATTATTCCAAGACCAAGAATTGGATGGAAATTGTTGCCTGTTTTATTACAACAAACTCAACTTTTTATTTAAATCAAGATGTTGTAATCAGTGATTTGTAGCATCATCTGCCTGAACCTTCATCTTGTTAAAAGTACAACAATGTACTTTTTGCTGCCAGCAATGATTTTGTACCTTTAAAATTAAACAAAGGTCAACAGTTATGGTTTGTTGACCATTTCAGTACTTTACAGGGTACTTTCTTAAAAAAATGTATCTATGGGTAAAAAAACGATACCCCTTTTTCTCTGTGTAGGAGAGCCTGATGACCAGGCTCTCTTGCTGAATGAGGAGATGCCTCACTGTGTTGGACTGGCGGCTGCTCCCACAGCAAACTATCTCAGACCCTGGGGAGGGTCTGGAACCCTGGGAAAGTTAAGAAGATTTGTTCATTTGTAGATATTTGTCCATGTCATGTGTGGTTGATGTTAAATGTTATTGATTTTAAAAGAGCAACATAGCGCCATAGTACCAAGGTGGGGAAGGCAGCTGAGGGATCTAGATATCCTCAGATGCACTGCATGTGTGATAGCACGGCATATTTATGGTGGGGAATTCGCTGGTGGAGATTTCTCTGGTGATGCATTATGTGTGCAGCACCCTAAGCATGTGTAACATATTTTGTATTTTGTGTCTAGATTGGCAACTGCCCATACACTTGTGTTGTGTGTGTGTGTGTTTGTGTTTATGTACACACCTACATTTATTTGAATATTGTAATATTAGTAATGTTTTATATTTTCTCACTTGCTTGTATTGTAATGAATTAATGATGTATTGTGTGGTGCATTTATAAATCTTTGTTTAAGTTGATGAAGTTAGAATAAGAAAAACCCGTGAGTTCAAAAACATTTTAAAACTTTTCTGAACATGACATAATTGAAGTGAATGATCACTGCCATACGATAAATGCTGATGATCAGTCCCTAATGCACTGTTCATATTTTGGCACCGACTGTGTGCCATGATTATGTTTTCAGGTTAAATGAAGGTGTAGCAAACCAGATGATCATGATAACAGTTCATATATTATTAGGAGGAAAGTGAAAATGGATTATCCAAAGAACAACAAGCTCTTGATGTTAAACAGGGGAAGTTCAAAGGCTTTAAAATCCAGAAGGGCAGCTCAGGGTCTATTGGACTCTTCATAAAAAGATGCTAATGATAACAGTGTTGACATTAGAGAAGATGAGGATAATGATGACGACAGTGATCGTAATTAGGATGGGAAGATTTCAAATGAAGGACATGGAATTTGGCCAGGCTTTTGCTTGTTTCCATTAAACAGTGGACAGAAAGTATTTTTCCAGGACACTATAATTACTATTTTATATTGTTGGTATGTCCTTTGTCCCATCTGCATTATATCTCTGTCGTGATTATTCAGCTGTGGTGCTGAATCCTGCGCAGGAATGTAACCATCTGCTGGCACCACCAAGTGGTACAAAATCTTTACTACAGCTGTGGCAACACTGAAGAATCACGCTCTGTGCTGTCAGTGTGTTTGAAATAATTAAAATGAATGTGGGTCCATGTAGCACAATGATGCTTCAACGGTAGGACGCTGTGTTCACTAGGCAGCTTCATGTTAACTATACCTCTGAGTGCTGCTGGTGCTACTCTCTACTCTGCTACTCTCGCAGAATATCCACCAGTTTCCAAACTTCCACCTATGACAAATGAAGCTAAAAATCTGAAAGTCAAAATGTAAAGAGGAAATTAGAAGAGAGAGAAACAGCAGGGTTTGTCAGATGTGTCACCCTTGCTCTGGCTCATTCCCTCTGAACGACTGCCAACCAGCTGACCATTAAAGATCAAAAATTCACTCAAGGTGGCTAAAGACATTTCACCACAGAAATCTTTTCTCTGTCTCTTTCCTTTTCATTTCATTTTCCTTGAATCTTTTCACTTTGTTCCTTTCATCTCCTTTCTTTCTTATTCATTCCTCTTGGTTTCTTCTCTTTGTATTGTCTGTTGTTCCTTATAAATCTTTTTTCCTCCTCTACTTTTCTTTTTATCTTCTTGTCTTTTTGTCCAAGATCAACCAGCAAGCCCAATTTCCCTTTACACCTTCTATATTAAAGATATTGGTCAAACTTATCTTTCACCAGAGTACTTTGTTATCACCCATATAGGTTTAATATTAATTTATATGAATATTATGTTCTGAAAAAATAAAATATTATTCCTGTAACTGATGAAACTTTTAGAGACATCTGTGAGGAGGATTTCAGAGTTTAAGAATTAGATTGCTCTATTAAAAAAAGCATCTGACTGCTCACTAGGTCCAGATGGAATAACATTATAAAACATTTCAGGGAAGAAATCAAAATATTACTAATGAAAGCTTTTTCACAACAAAGGTCTGGTACAATGTCCGATTCACTGCACCAGTCATTCTGTCTAGCTCACTCTCTATACTCTAACCTGAAGGGAGCAATCCAAAGTTTTCTGGCAAACAACCATGGCCTCAGACTTGGAGGTGCTGACTCTCATCCAGACTGCTTCAAACTTGGCTGCAAACCGTTCCAGTATCACACTAAAGGTCACAATCTGATGAAGCCAACAGAACAACATCATCGGCAAATAGAAGGGAGGAAATTCGGAAGCCCCCAAACTGGATCCCACGCCTGTGCCTTGAGTTCCTGTCCATGAATATCACAAACAGGAGTTCAACACCCGCTGAGAACATGTTTGACTTTGTGCCGGGAATAAGGACATAACTTTCACTTTGGTTATACAAGGACTGGATGGCTCACGGTACACCATACACCCACAGTCCCCCAGGTGACAAAGTCGTAAGCCTTTGCCAAGTCTGCAAGACAGATGTAGACTGGATGGTCAAACTCCCATGACCCCCTCAGCAGTCCTGAAAAGGTAAAGACCTGGTCCACTGTTCCACTGCTGGACTGAATCTGCATTGCTCCTCCTGGATTTGAGGTTCGACGATTGGGCAGAGCTTCTTTTCCAGCACCCTGGTATAAAGGGGATACTGAGCAGTGTGATACCCTCCTGCCCTCCTCTTTGAAAATGGGAATCACCAGAGTATAACAAGGTATAATTGCCACACCTGGAAAAGACAATAGTCACAATAGTCTTGGCAGCAAGATTTGAAAAAGTTATATTGAAATTTACTAGCACAACTCAATCATGATTCCTCAAAGATGATATCTCCTTGGTTCCTTCCTAGAAAGCCCCATATTCAACGTAGGAAGAGGTATGATACAGGGATGTAGTATTACACATCTTTTGTGTTTGAACCTGGACATTATGAGCATCCACAACTGTTCCTATTTTTCATTGTATGGTCTATCAAAAAAAATATACATGGGGATTTGGATAATCAAATAAAAGAGCCATGACACTGTTTGGAAAGTGTCATGGCTATATCTCCCAAGATTATCAAAGATATTAACAAACAAAAAAAACTTTTATTTCATCTGGAAAAATAAACATCAAGTAATACTCCATCATAACTGGGGTATTACATGGCTTCAGTCTTTTCTAAGGAATGAATAAACTCTGACTCCCACCAACAAATCTGGAAGCCCTGGGAAATGATTTCTAAAGATAATTTCATCCCTCACAACTTCCACTGTGGAATAATAGAGTTACATTAGGTAAATCGATTGAATGAAGAAACAAATATTGTCAGTTGTTCATTTGGTGGAATTATTAATTATTTAAATTGGATAAGTTTAATAATAAACATAACTTGGATTTCCTTATTAAAAACCATATTTAAGTGGCACAACGTCAAAGTCCATAAATATAGATTTCTTCTCTTTAAATCTGTACAGTTAGGAGTCATCCTGAAGAACAAGCATATTGAATTTCTAGTTAACAATATCATCATAAATAATTTGTATTTATTTATTATTTTAATGGCTCAACATTCACTACTTTTATATTCCTTTCATGTTGTCTTGCTATTTCAATCCTGTTTGTTTTTCCCTTTTCAACAATTCTTATTTCCTCTGAGTAACTGATGGTTAATGTTCCCCATGTATGTTGAAAGGAAAATGTGTTGTAAATAAAGTTGCTTTAAAAAAAAAAAAACATGAAATATTTATCACGTCACGTTTTTTCATCACTCGCCACGTTAATCCTATCCACCTGCAGAGGGCGCCACCATGAAGGAAACTTGTACCTCATTTTGCGGAACCTTTTACAATTTTGTTTCCACTCGGTTTACTACGAGGTGACACTTCCATACTCTTCCGGGCTGGAGGTTACTTTACACACGTGAAAAGTGGAGGAAGCAAGCAGACTGTGAGCAGACAACAGGCGGTTTACTTGCAGGTTTGGAGACGGATCATTTGTGTTTGTTGTATAGCTGTTGTGGAGACGCGGCACGCGGCTAGTGTGTGTCCGTATAGGACCAATACATTGTGCTGTATGTTGTATTGTACTGTAGAACAATATGCAGGCCTGTGTGTTTTTATTTTTCTATCGCTGCCAAAAGGGCTTCTACAAAGTACGGAATTAAAGGTCTGAAGACTTGTAAATGATACAAATCAGTTTCTGTTTTGTTTTTTTATAAATTTGCAAAAAATCCTAAATCATATTTCCGCTTTGTCATTATGAATCGTTCAGAGAAGTTGAATGGGCAAAATGTTAAATGTACAACGCAATACAGTGAATGGGTCTGAATACTTCCCGAAAGTCGCCACATTTTCACTTAGTCTGTCTTGTCCAGACTTGGACCAGACAAACAGGAGAATATGGCGAAGGGGGTGGGGGGCAGTTCAGTTTGTGCTGTCACCTGCTGTTACATGATGTCTTGTCTGTGTCTGTGCTTCAGTGGACAGGATGGACGGGAAGGTTAAGGAACAGAAGCGACATCAGCAAAAGCACAGCGGACCAAAGGCAGAGAGGAAGAAGCTCAGGAAACAGGGAGGCTCAACAGAGGAGGATGAACGGAGACGCAACCCCAAAGCATTTGCAGTTCAGTCTGCTGTCCGCATGGCCAAAACGTTTCACAGGTCAGTACTGCACTATACTGCTGCACTTCTGTTTGACACACTGAGCATGTAGCATCCAGGATGTAACACTCACTAGGTCTTTGGTCATATGGTGGGCCATCAAGGTCAGTTAGTGACATACATTTGACATAATTCTATTAATCAATGAATAGGAATAATCAGTAACTGAGGAAAATTGAAGCACTGCACAAACTCAAATGTGACGTAATCAAAGAACAATATGAATCTAGAATGGCACTCAGCAGAGCGCAGACCTCTGCCTATGAAAAATGAGGGAAGTGTTTAAAACTTCCTGGATCTGCCCCAGATTTAACAGTTTCTTCCCTGGTCCATGGCCCATCCCTCCACCAAGTTTGGTGCAAACAAGATCAGTGGTTTTTGTGTAATCCTGCTGACTGACAAACTACATAAAACAGACATAGGTGAAAACATAACCTCCTTGATGACCCCTGTTTTGTTAGGGCCCAGGACATAAAGGCCAAAAAACATCACATCCCTCTTGTGGACCGGACTCCCCTGGAACCCCCTCCAGTTGTGATTGTAGTTGTTGGGCCCCCCAAGGTGGGAAAAAGCACCCTTATCCGCTGCCTGATCAAAAACTTCACCCGGCAGAAGCTGGGGGACATATGTGGACCTATTACCATCGTCTCTGGTGAGTATGGCCAATGATTTCTTTGTAGACAGGTGTAGTACCCCAACGCTCTACAGTATGTCTCAGATGCTGTAAACGAACTGATGGGGTGACACCGACTGATCATCTGTCTAACCCAATCAAACAACAGAGCATCACAACAGGAATTCATGATGTGTACTCTCGCGACACTTGATGTTTTACCATCAAAAACGGCATGAACACTATGATATCCCACATTAAATTTATATTCTTATAAAGACTAAAACATCTCAACAGGAACTTTTCTGCCTCTGAGACCCCGACAGTAGACACCACACAGGGAACGAGGACGGGGAATGATTTTTGGACATAAACCAATACTTCTGTTTGTTTGGCCACCATCAGGCATTTAACCATCATGTTACAGTAATTGTTTGCAGTGCTGAACTTTTGTCTCCCTCTTTTGGCAGTGAGAGTAATTACACAAACACTGTTGACACATGTCTGCCCTCCTCTGCCCTACTCTTCTTTCAGTACTCTCCAATGCAAACCATGTTTGTCTTCATCATCAATCATTTTCTTTTTTAGATTGTAATCTGTACTCTGGATGCTGATTTTCTTTTTTATCTGAAGTATCAGAAACTTTTCTTGAATGTTTCCTTGGTATTTCCATGCATGAGTATGGAGAGTGGTATGCATCCTATTCTGTCTTTGTGGGGGTGGTTGCTCCCCTCTTCAGCTCTGACAAACCAATCATTACTTGCTGACATAAAACACATCACAACCGGTGCACCGATGAGGGAAAGTCGCCACAGACACCAGATTTATAACTCTGGTGTATTTTGAAATACAGAGAGATTTACGTGGAGCTAATAGGTTTAATCAATGGTGTGTGAATTTATTTGAATGTTCCAGAATTTCCTGTTCATTAGTATCTAAAAGTCCTGCACTTAATACAGTAACCTGTCAGCTTCCATCTTGATTCTAAGATTCTTTTACTTGTTTTTAAAGCACTTCATGGTCTTGCACCAGCATACATGTCTCACTTGCTTACAGCCTATGTACCAGTACGGCTCCTCAGGTCCTCTGGCCCAAGTCTGTTAGTTGTTCTGAAGTGCAGGACTTAATCCTTCAGTGAGGCAGCTTTCAGCTTTTATGCTCCGAGCCGATGGAGCAGTCTCCCCGAGGACCTGAGAGCAGCTGGAAGAATTTAAATTTTCAAACCGAAACTCAAAACACAACTCTTCAATCTGGCTTTTTTCGTTATTATTTTGTTTTTTAGTTATTAGTCACTTTATTTCATTCTCTTATTTTACTGTATTTATGTTCTAAATTCTACTTTATTATATTTTATTCTATTCTTTTATCATTGTATTTTATTCTATTTTATCTGCTGTTTTACCATTGATTTGCTTATGTTTTCTTTTTTGGTTTGCTAATGTTATTGCAGCTTTTAAAATCTATTTTATTGTAAATCATTTTCAGCTGTCTTACTTGATTTGTCCTTTTCTTTTTAGCTCATCAGTCTGTGAAGCACTTTGAACTGCACTAACCTGTATGAAAAGTGCTATACAAATAAAGTTTGATTGATTGAAGTGACTGCTTTTTATCCCTCAGGGAAGAAGCGTCGCCTCACTTTCATGGAGTGTAACAATGACATAAACACTATGATTGACCTCGCAAAAGTAGCTGACCTGGTGAGTTTTTCAGTTCACAGTAAACAGAGTTGACTTCAGTGAGACAGTCTCACATAATGAAACATATTTGTGTACTTTCTAATATGATCAACTTTACAATAAACGTAAAAAGAAATGGTTACTTGAGTTAGTGTCAGACTTGTACTGTAAACAGAATGAGTTGGCTTGAATAGACTCTTGAAGGAGGAATAAAGTATCATGAATGAAGGTCACTGTGTTTTCTCTCTCCAGGTCTTGATGTTGATTGATGCCAGCTTTGGCTTTGAGATGGAGACGTTTGAGTTTCTCAACATCTGTCAGGTGCACGGCTTTCCTCGTATCATGGGTGTGCTGACTCATCTGGATTCATTCAAGAACAACAAGACACTGAGGAAGACAAAGAAAAACCTCAAACATCGCTTCTGGACAGAGGTCTACCAGGTAAACATAGCACACTCACATCCTTTAAACTGAAAGCCCGTGCTCATATACACAGTCCTGTACATTGAATCGATAACTAACTGTCAATGACGGTATGATGGGAGACAGTTTCTACATGTGTGTGCGTGTTGTGTTTGAACCTGTCAGGGAGCCAAGCTGTTCTATCTGTCTGGTATGGTGTATGGTGAGTACCAGACTCAGGAAGTGAAGAACCTGGGCCGCTTCATCTCTGTCATGAAGTTTCGTCCTCTGGTGTGGCAGACCTCCCATCCTTATGTTTTGGTCGACCGGTGAGTGTTGACCTGGAGAGCTACACACTCGCCATTAAGATGATCCATTAGTTGGTTTCAGTGATGACAAAATTGTATTTTTTGTGGGTGCACTTAACCGTTATATTCACAATGTTCCTTTCTGCATTGACACAGTATGGAGGACTTGACTGACCCAGAGAGGGTGAGAACAGACCCCAAATGTGATCGGACTGTGTCACTCTATGGCTACCTCAGAGGGACATATTTGAAAAACAAAGGCCAGGTCCATGTCCCAGGTACAGAAGCACAGTTGGTTGCTGGTTACCTTTCTTTGTATTCAAAGATGTTTGGTTCTTGTGGAATCAATATGTGGAGTTGTTGTGTGCTTCTGTCACTGATTTCACCATAGCAAGTAGCTCAGTCAGGTATAGACCCTTACTCTCTTATTTGTCCCTGACAAACAATGTAATTAAAAAAACCTTCTCTGCTTCACATCATTATGTTGAAGGCAATACTGCTCCTGAATTGTACCTCAAGTATTTCTTTGGAAATTGTGTGAGAGATGTTGTGTATTTTATTCTCTGCAGGTGTAGGAGACTTTCAGGTGGCAGACGTAAACTTCCTGCCTGACCCATGTCCTCTGCCAGATGCTCAGAAGAAGAGAGCGCTGAACGAGAAGGAGCGTCTGCTCTATGCACCTATGGCCGGCGTCGGTGGGGTTGTGTACGACAAAGATGCTGTATACATCGACCTTCCTGCCAACCACGTCAATCAGCAGCAGGTGCGTGCATGTGTGCGCATGTGTGTGCGTGCGTGTGTGCTTGGCATAAGAGTGTGTGTTCTACATCTGATAGATTAAAAAAAAAAAAAAAAAAAATTTACAACCTTTTGTCAGTGCTTTTTATAGAAACCTGTTGTTTGAGGCACTGTTCATTAGTTTAAAGTTTGACCATTAAAATCATAGTGTTATTGTACCTGGTGGGCAATGTATTCTTCTTCATCTGGTGCAGGAGGAGGTACGGCCCACCACAGAACTGGTCCAGTCTCTCATCGACACACATGCCACCCTGGATGCAAAGATGGCTGCCAGTAAAGTGTCTCTGTTCAGTGGCTCAGCCACCCTGGAGCCCACAGACATCGATGAGCAGAGCAGGTGAGACAACACACAGCTCCGGTCCAGCTCTCTCTTCTTTTGCACAGCTATATTTGGCCCTTTATTCTGCTCAATTTGTGTAGCATTAACATCAAGAAATAAATAAAGTAATCACAAACATAGAACTGTAAAAGATCCATCATCTCTTGACCTTAACCTGTCTACATGTGTGCTTTTGTCGTCTTCAAATGTACAGCATTGTATGGTTTAATATATAGTTTTCGTATCTGATGGCAAGATGAAAAAAACTCTTTTGTCATTTGTCACTTTATATGGTCATGTGTGTTCAGACATTTTATTATCCCAAGTGGGAAATTTGATTTGCAGTCAGGGGAACAGAAAAGAAATGGATGAAAACAAAAGTGCAACAATTTACACAATACAGTGAAACACACAAAACTGTAAAGCACCAAAACACAGAAACTATAAAAACACAGAACATTAGATAAACACAATGTTAACTGGCTGAAGAATAGCACACAAATGAAGAAACATGCTAGTTTCTAAATGTTTGAGTTTTGTTTGTGTGTTAGAGAGAAGGAGGGTCCTCACCAGAAGCGGGTCTGGGATCCCACCACGCAGAGAGAGAGAAGGGCGGTGGTCTTCACAGAGGAAGAGGAGGAGGACAGGGAAGATGATGACAGTGGTTCCACTGATGATGAGGATGGCGGTAGTGACAACAGTGACCAGGAGGAGCAGCAGGAGGAGGAGGACGAGGATGAGGATAACCTTTCCACATTTCTCAAAGAGGCAAGAGCCAAATGTGAAGGGACAGATAAGAACATACCAGGCAGCACCCCCCCAGCAAAGAAACAGAAACTAGAGGAAAAGAAAGAAGAGCAGCAAATGACCGCTGAGGTGCCAGCGTTTGCTGACAGTGAAGATGACCTGGAGATCAGTGAGGAGGAGGGAGAAGAAAAGGGGGAGGGCGGAAGAGCAGGAGACTCTGGACACTGTTCTGAGGAAGATGAGGAAGATGATGATGATGATGATGATGATGATGATGATGATGATGATGAAGATGAAGAAGAGTCTGATGATGAATCCATGGAAGAGGAGGATGGTGCAGCTGAAGCTGCAATGAAGGAACAAAGAGAGAGTGAGGGGGAGGAAGAGCAGGGTAAGTACAAGGTTGCATCATTAGTCATGTTTTTATTTCAAATTCAGTTCAGTTCTGAGGATAAAGACACTGATACCTCTCTGTCTCTGCTGATACCTGTCTAGTATGTGTTCATCTGGTCTGAAGAAGGGTTTAAACTTTGACTCTTAAGTCAAACAATTCTAGGACTTAAAAGTGGAGGTTCCTAAAGTCCAGACTTGACTCACACTGCTCATCAATTGGAAAAGACCAAGTTTTCTTGTGTTTGTAGTGTGAACTTACCCATGTACTGTACCTCTGTGACAGTCTCAGGTGATATTAAAGGAAAGGAATTGTGACCACAGTTGATGAAATTCATTTACACACATTGGGCCTCATTCACCAACCATTCTTAAGAAGAAATATCTTCTTCAAACCGCACTTTTTACGAAGATTCTGACATTCACCAATGTTTTCTTATTTGGGATTTGTTCTTGGGTAAGAACAGAATCTACGCACACTCAAGAGTTCTCTTAAACACATTTGAGTGCTGACATGTTTGAGCAAAATAAGTGGTTATTGAGTTTTCTTCAGTTCTACACTTATATAATAATGTATCATTTTAAATTACAATGATATTTTTGTCATGTTTTAATATAAAAAAAAACAAAACAAAACTTTTGTTATTTTACAAAGCATTATGGTCTTAAAATAAATGAACGCTACATTAACATTTAACTGCTCGTTTGCGGCTCACTTCCTGCAGCAGTACCTCCACTTCAGAACTACTAAAGTTCCTTTTGCGTTCTGATTCCGGTGCTCCGTCTTTAGATTTTCGTTTTGGCATTTCCTCAACTTTATGGTGTCTCTTTGTGACTTCTGTCTGTGTCTGCACACGACCCTTCAGTCTCATGCCCTTTAAAGGGCATTTTCGGGCGTTTACCTCTGCTAATTAAGGCCAACTGGCGCACGCTTTCAGTTTATGAGGAGACTGGCATTCATCAATCTAAGAACACAAGCATGCACAATTCTGTGGTTTAAGAACACGTTCATGAATCTGACTTAGAGTTTTCTTAAGAACTTTCTTAAGAACAACTTAAGAAAGAATTTAAGAAAATACTTAAGAAGATACTGGTGAATGAGGCCCAATGACTCTAGTCCACAGTAATTAACTGAAAAAAACAAGATGTAAATGCAAGATTGTATTACTTATTAAGATTTCGTTACAACTGCAACTAAAAGTTTGTGGAAGCTGAGAAAACATTTCACACTTTTTGAGCAGTTTTATGTGGAACAATGCAGTTTAATCCAGGATAAGTGATGTAAGGGTTGAATTGATCACTTTGAGTCAGATTGTGTAACTTCTTTGCTGTTCTTAGGGCAGCCATGCTGTTGTTTTTTAAACACCTTAGCCACAGATGAGTGACTACAATCAGCTGAGAATATATTTGCACTAGAAGTTTTCTGATCACGACCCGTGTGATGCTGATGGTTCATTCTCCTGTTTCCATCCTCAGGCACTCTTAGGTGGAAGGAGGGTCTGCAAAAGAAAGCATCAGAGGCATTTCTACGGCAACAAGAAGCTACACCCAATCTGAGAAAACTGGTTTATGGTTCAGGTAATTAACGTCACTTTGAAATAATACTGTGAATCCTGTGTAAAGGTACAGAGATGTAGTTACATATATATATAAACATAAACATTTATCTCAAATAAGGGTTGTTATCTTGCTTGTGATCTCAGTGTGAATTATGTAAATAAAACAAAAAAAACAATGCACAATGAGATGTTTGAGAAAATAATGGAGCAGGAGGCAAAGAAGCGCACAACCATAGCAGAGAGATGTTTACTCCTCTGAGTTCAGTGTCAAGTGCTGAACAAAGTCCCAACCGTCTTGAGAGATGTTGATTCATCTTCATGGTGCTTTTTGGAGGATATAGTTTGTGGTGATATTACATTGTATATAGGCAGGTGTTTCTACCATTTTGTCCACCCCATTTATATCGTTGAGGGTAGGTTAAGTAACAGAAACACCTCTCTGTATAATGCAGTACAGTTCAACATCACAAAGTACAGCCTCCAAAATGATCACAGTCAGTTATTATTTTAGGTAGGTGTACCTAATAAACTGCCTACTGAGTTTAAGGTTTAGTTTTGATCTCGTTTTTCAGTTGTAGAGGCGGATGATTCTGAGGATGAGGAGGAGGAGCTGGGGGGGCTGTTTCGAGTGAGTCGCCCTCAGACAAGCAAAAGGTTCAAGGCAAATGCTGTCGACTGCTCCCGCTTCAACCCCGACACCTCCCACAACTGGGACCTGGAGGAGGTAGTGTCGTTTCTAACACTGCTCCAAACTGTTGTAATGGGGAATGTTTGTTACTTGAATTCCTAATATGTTGTTGATATCAAAAAAATACAAAAAAGATGTTGAAATTTAATTTAAATAGTTAAAAGTTGCAATGTTTTTCCCAGATGTTAAATTCCATCAGAGACTGCTTTGTGACAGGGAAGTGGGAGGAAGACCAAGATGCAGCCACACTACTGAAGGAGGATGGTAAGAAAAGGACATGAGGAGGAGAAACATCCCACTCTGCCCAACACATTCATCTAAACTGTAGACTTATGTCTGAAAAAGTTACAAACAGGAGCGCCATGGTGGCTCTCCTGGTGGAGCATGTTCCATGTAGGCTTGGTCCTTACTGATAGATTTGAGGATCTACTAAATTTAATGCTGGCTGAATGATTTGGATATGGACATTCAGTTTAGAATGAAACTGGTGTACCTCATAAAGTCCTTTCATGGGAATCCCAATTTTGTCTGTGAAGCACACAAACATGGGGAGTCAGTCACATGGAGTCAGAAAAAAATACTTAACTTGCAGTATTTTGTTTTGCTTTATCTAGAGGAGCTGTATGGTGACTTTGAGGATTTGGAAACGGGAGAAGTTCACAAGGGCCAGAGTGGGCAGCAGGAGCAGGCTGAGGTATGTCCTGTTTACTTTGAACAGTTGAAATCCACTCTGACTGATTTACTTCACTTTGTTTTTTATTTACTGTTCTGGTGTGTGAACTTTCTTATATATGTAGAATTAGTTTTTTCAGTACTGCTTACTACTGCAGCACTTACAGTGTAAATTTTACATGCTGCAAATGAGAGACAAGTATTTCACAGCACTACTGCAGTTTACATGGCACTGCCAGTGATTTTAAATAAAATTGTGACTAAGAGAATTTTAAACTTTAATGTGGTTAGAGGGTGTTTACATCCATATTGGATTGTGGGTATAAACAACCTCAAACTTAAACTCAGTCAGCGCTTCAGTCAGGTAGTTTACTCTGAATCAGCTCATCTGAAACACTTATGAATTGAATCATAATAGTAGAAATTATTTTTTTACAGTTCACCAGATTTGAAGAGTTGTGTTTAAAATGCAAATACAAACACATCACAAGTACTGTTAACTCATTAATGCCTTTAGGTAGTCAGTGAGATGATATTTTGTCTTGTGGACCTTGTCACCGGCAGAATAGTGAGGAGGAGGATGATGAAGCTGAGGAGAGTCTGGTGAAGGTGGATGATGACGAGGTGCAGAAGAACAAGCGCCTGGAGAAGAAGCGCAGACTGAAGGAGCGATTTGATTCAGAATATGACAATGGAGACGCAACTTACTTTGATGACCTGAAGGAGGAAATGCAGAAGCAGGCTGAGGTAAACTGTTCTATGATATGATACACCCTACATTGTGGTCTTTAATATTTATTTGATTGATAACTGTATGTCTTTGTATGTTCTGTCTTTATGTCCTCAGCTGAACAGGGCAGAGTTTGAGGATGTGGATAATGAGACCAGAGTGCAGTATGAAGGCTTCCGGCCAGGAATGTATGTCAGATTAGAAATCTCCGCTGTCCCCTGTGAATTTGTCACCAGCTTTGATCCTCATTATCCCATCATCCTCGGAGGTCTTGGCTCCAGTGAAGGCAACATAGGATACCTGCAGGTATGTACAGTGGTTTCCACTTGACTAATAGTAATGCAGAGCATTTTAACATGTTGCAGTTCATTGTTTTGACTTTCTGGACCACAACGTTACTGTTCTGGTTCACTCTCACCGCTCTCAGTGTCGTTTTCAGCTGCAGCAGCAGCTGTTTTCAGAGAAACGGCTGTAAAAAGCCAGTGTCCACTACCTGCTCAGTAGCAAACAGCAGACAGACACAGCTAGAGAGTAGCTGGTGAATGTGGTGAAGCATTTAGCAGCTAAAGAGACAGCTAATAACTCTACATGATGACATGTTGCTCTGTAACAGCTGGATGTGGAAATAATCTAGATGGATAATAAAGTACATATAAATCTTTGTATTTTTAGTTAACATGTATAAATGACTTGGGTTTAAATATTCAGTTCACATTAGTGAAGTATATTTTAGAATAATACCGACATGCCCATATGTACATTGAAAGTTTTAGTAGTTACTGTAATTGTTCAGTTTTCAGTGTAAGTGACAGAGGACAACATCCACAGCCCTTGCTTTGTATTTAAACACATTCAACAAATTCAGCAGAAGTTAATATGAGGCTTCAGTTGTCTCTGTTAAGAAAAATCAAGTGAGGATCTTCCAAAGTTAGAGTTTTAGTGGGAAATTCTGTGTTTCCCTTTGGAGCCACAGCAGAGTACCACAAAGATGGAATTTCATACTAAAAACTGTGGACGATATCCACTTGATTTGTCTCCAGATGGCTGAGGCCTTGTGAAGCTTTAGCTTAACACCAGAACACCAAACACAAACACCAACTGTGAATTTTGTCCCTTGTTCTCTCCATTGAAATAGCTTCAGGAGGTGATTCAGTATGCACAGGAGCAACACTTACAGCAATAAATAATGCTTTCAATGTACATAAAGACATGTGAATGTTGTTTTAGGATAATCCATTGCCCAACTATTTCTACCCAACAGGTACATTTTTTGTAATAAGGCAGTGTGACCTGCAGTAATCCTATAATAATACCTCACTGTATTCTGGCAGATGTTTCTGCTAATTTTAACTCCAAGTGAACAAAATTTGTCAGGTGTAATGTTTCAAAGTAGTAATATCTATTTATGAATTTGTCAGATGCGACTAAAGAAACACCGCTGGTATGAGCGCATCCTGAAAACACGGGACCCCCTCATCCTGTCCTTAGGCTGGAGGCGCTTTCAGACCATCCCCCTCTACCACATCGAGGATCACAATGGACGCCACCGCCTGCTCAAATACACACCAGAGCACATGCATTGTGGAGCCTCCATCTGGGGTGAGACAGTTAAAGCACTGTTGACTGCTCGTGTGTGAATGGCTGTTTTTACATGTACATAATGATAATGAGAGTAAGACATTATTTTTGACAGTAGCAGAGGGCCAAAAACAGAGCCTTGGGGTACTCCATATTTCACATCAATAAATATAGATGGAGTATTATTATAGGAAACGCACCATTTTCTGTCAGATGAGTGGGATTTTAACCATGTGAGAGCCAGGCCAGAGATGTCAAATTGGTTTTCCAACCGGTCTGAGTATGCAATGATCTATGATATCAAAAACCACACTGAGATCTAGTAAGAGAAGCACAGAGGTGGAATCTGAAATCTGAAGTATCAGTAAGTGGAAGAAAGGTTTTTGAGAGGATGACGGGCCTCATTTAGGTGAAGATTAAGAACACTTCAATCTCATCAAAATTGGCAACAAGGTCTGAGATCAATTCTCAGAATTTATCGAAAAATTGTAAATAAGGGCCAGGTGATTGATTTCAATTATGTTTGTATAGTGCCAAATCATAATCTCAGGGTAAGGGGGGACAGCTGTATATACGGTTGAACCTAAGTCATTTGTTGATCTGTAGAGTAGCACATGGTTGAATGGTGGAAGATGAAATTGTGGCAGATAGTCTATTTGGATGTAAATAAACTATGTAATGAAGCCATGGAGATACTTTAAAAAAAAAAAAAAAAAAAACTGCGCAGAGGTAAAATGGAAAAAAGTGTCACTGCTGAAAATGTCTTGTTTGAGCTCATGCAGTGTGTATTTAAAGATGTCCCTGTTCAGAGGTGCAAAGAATGGGAGAAGGGACTGGAGGCCTGATTTATCACCACAGACCACTGCAGCAGAGGAAGCTCTGCATGAAATGCAACATCTGCGATAAACAGTAGAGTCTGCATCACTGTTGAATCAGACACAGGGTGAGAGAGGCTACAGCAAAGAGAAACGCTGAGAGATAAGACAGCTTTGATCTTCAGTAATAGTTCAGGCAGTGAAAACACTGGTTACAGCAGTGAAAAAATTACAGAAAATTAAAAGATGCAAATAATGTCACTTTCGAGTGGCTCTTGATTTTCACATGATTTTAATTTGTGTTTACCATCCCTGCAAATCAGATGAACTGCGACTATGCAGTGCTAGAGATATTCATGTACAGTCACTGTTTTTAAACAAGTAATTTAAGACCTGTGATTCATTATATAAAACAAATGGTGTAATTTCTTACTCTATAATTAGTCTTTTGTTCCAGCACTGTTAAGAAATCTTTGAAGACAAGTTTCAGAGTCCTGTCTAAAGTGATCACCTGTATGTTAATAATTATTCTGTCTCCTTTTGTCTATTGAAGGTCCCATCACTCCACAGGGCACTGGGTTCCTGGCTGTACAGTCAGTAGCAGGAACTAAAGTGAGTATTATTCTGCAGTTACTGCAGTTAAAATCGGTTCAGTTAAAATGTTATAGATCAAGAAACTGAGAATAACTTTATTTAACTCCTGGTTGTAATGGAAGTGAGAACTTTGTCAGCTTCACTGTTACCTGGTAGTTAGTTTGTAAAGCAGTTAATATCAAAATTAAAATTTTCATGTGTTCCTGTTTTCTCTCTACAGGCTAATTTCCGTATTGCAGCCACAGGCGTGATCCTGGATCTGGATAAATCAGTGACCATAGTGAAGAAGCTCAAACTCATTGGTTACCCCTACAAGATCTTCAAGAACACATGCTTCGTTAAGGTAGGGAAAATGCAGCCTATAGGTAGATATCAGTGAGTTTTGACTATTAAAAGATGTTTGGATTGGATGTGATAACCCAGAATATAGAGAGATCATTTGCTCCAAAAACATTCTTTAGCTGAAGTTTTTATTGCTTCCTTTAATGACCTGGAGTGACTCTGACTGGTCTGCAGCACAAGGTCAAGTTTTTTTTTTTTTTGTCTCCCATCAGAGAAAATGTTCTAATGTTTAAGCAACTGTAACATAAAGACAGACATATCACAATAAAAGCATTTAATAACATTTAATAAAGCACTCTTAAAAAATAACCAAAACACTATTTGCCTTTATGTGTTGCTGTGGGAGGCAGCAGGATTTTGGTTGCTTGTATTGAATTTGAAAAGGAAGTGAAACATCACTGTATGAAGAGGCAGAATTAATAATACTACTAACAAGTACCTTCATTGGCCTCTCCCTCTGCTCACAGGGCATGTTCAACACAGTGCTGGAGGTGGCTAAATTTGAAGGTGCCTCTGTGCGAACAGTTTCAGGGGTCAGAGGTCAGATCAAAAAGGTCTTGTCTACACCACCAGGAGCTTACAGAGCCACATTTGAGGACCGCCTGCTCATGAGTGGTGAGTGCCTGTTTGACTTGTGTCATTATTTTGTATAGTTCATCATGGGTTCCTGCAGATTCTTAATCTAATTTGATCTATTTTATCTAATAATACTAACAAGAACATCTATGTATGTGATTTCTTCATCTACTGCTGTTGCTGATTAACATGTACATTCACACTGAATGAAGGATATAGGAGAGGGAGTCAAAAGTATGTCTAGCAAAAAATGCAAAATGGAGGGAAACATTCCCATGTTTACAGCTTAGAATGAATTCATGTTGCCAGATTCAAGACAACAGAAAACTCTATCTCTAGAATTTAATTACTGCTGCTTCTCATCTTCACCATGACTGTCTGTGTTTTATGGCCACTATGCAGAGGTGTAACAATTAATTAGACAATGATATAATGTTTTGCTATGTATTGATGTGTTTTGGTGTGTGTGTGTTTATGTGTGACTGTTGCGCAGACATTGTGTTCCTGCGCTCCTGGTATCCAGTGTCTGTTCCTCAGCTCTACAACCCTGTCACCTCTTTGCTGCTGCCTGTTGGTCAGAAGGACAGCTGGGCAGGCATGAGGACCCTGGGTCAGCTCAAACATGACCTGGGCATCCGCAACAAGCCCAACACTGACTCTCTGTACAAGGTAGACTCACACTGGTGGATCTGTAAACACCTGATGTGATGAATGAATGAGGAATTAAGAGTAATGTAACATACGTAGTGTACAGCACCTCCCATAAATCCAACATCTCTAATGTGAGGATTTGCTGTTTTATATGACAGTAAACTGAATATATTTGGGTTTTGGACAAGAGATTTGCTGAGCTTGTGCGGGCTGGCTTGTCAGTAAAACTTGTTACTGAATTGACTTGCAGCTAAAACAAAGATTTATCCTTCACAAAGCCTAAATCCTGACTCAACATGTGAATATTTGTCCTCTTCCCTTCAGCCGGTAGCTCGAGCCCAAAGGCACTTCAACCCGCTCCACATCCCCAAGGAGCTGCAGAAGGCCCTGCCCTTCAAGAGCAAACCCAAACAGCAGCAACCCAAAGGAAAGACGCCCAGAGACCTGCAGCGTCCCAGTGTGATCAGAGAACCCCATGAGAGAAAGGTGTGCAAAAAATGTCTCTACAGTCTCAGTACAGGAGCTTAGGAATTAGCATTAGCCTTGGTTGTGTGTTCAGCTGAAATGGAACACTGATCTGACCATTTACACAACAGATAGAATGGAGAGCCAAAACTATGAAAAAAGCAATTTTGTTGTGGATTCCTTTAACTACAAGATGACCTTGTACTGCTCCCTGTAGTAATACATGACTTTATGACTTCAAGTGTTGTTTTTCTTGTCCTGTTGCTTTAGGTGGCGGCCCTGCTCCACGCTCTGAGCACAGTTCACAACCACAAGAGGAAGAAATCCCACATGGTGCAGCACGCCAAACACAAGGAGTTCCTTCAGCAGAAGGAGAAACAGGAGGAGGCCAAGCTGAGGAGACAGAAGGAGGCACGTAAAAAACTGTACCGTGTCATGGGCCAGATGGACCAGAAGAAACAAAGGTCCAGTCTAAAGGGGGCGCCACAGGACAATTGACTTTCTGGACTAATGAGGCAAACCTCTGTCACTGTCTCTTTGGAGTTTTAGCGTGTTTTCATTTTAGCAGGTTCATTTTTATTGTATTTTTCTTTATGTATTGAAATGAAGATTAACTGTAAAGAAAAATGTATCTGACTTCTGGAGCTTATTTTAATAAAACATAATAATGACCAGAACTGTGACATCACTCCAGCAAGGTGAAGTTTTCAGCTGCATATCACAGTGTCAGTGATTGTGTTGGAGCTGTCAGATGTTCTTTTATGAGTTCTTTCTCTCTATTCTCTCTCTCTTTTGTAATTAAAGTAAAAAAGACAATTATTAACTTTACAGAAAGTTGCATTAAGGTTTAGCTCTTTTTAAAATTGAAGTTTTTCTTTTTGTCAGATTTCCACTCCAGCCTGTCTATGATGAACATATTACAAGACATATTCAGTTTAGTATCAGTGTGTCCACAGAGGTTTCGTACATATTTGATTTGTCATAGAACAATTGTGTCATTTAGAGTGAGCACGTGTCTGTCTATTGAGACTGCTGGCCTTTCAACAAAAGGAGGAATCTCATATGAAACAAATTAATTCATTAATCTTGTAACATTGTATCTTTCTCTAATCAGTTGAAAGCCAAACTTTTCATATCTCAAGTATCAAAGTGGATAAATAAGGTATCATCAGAGAGACATTTATGGAAGCCCATTCTGCCATAATATAGAGAAAAAACATGAAAAGATAAAAAATGAAAATTACATTACAATTACATAAATCAAAAAACAAAACTAGTCCAAAATATTTAGTCATCATTGCATTACCTCATTTTTTTAAATAATGTTATAGTGTGTTTTCTAGATTAAAAGTTCGACCTAGACACGGTTTTTAAAGGAAAATATATATCGTGGAGCATGTAGTTTAGTTCTGTGGTTGGGGCACGTGAGAAAATACAACACATCAGCGTTATCATGAAGCTTTTATTGTGAATGTTTCAAACCGGAAGTGCAGACGTTGCCGCCGGCAGGCTGGAAGCTGCAGAAAATAAGAGCCGAGTTGTTGTAAAAGTCTGAGCTCAAAAATTAACAGTTTGGTCTTCAGACGGACTGTGGGACTGTTCTCAAGGCTGGCTCTTCACAAGATGGCTCCGACTAATGTCATTCATCAGTACTCTTCAGAAGCGGGTAAATACACTTAGCTTTCCCAATGTTAACTGTTAGCTTTTAGCCTTCTGCCTCATAGTGTCCAACCACTTGTTACACCACGTGTGTGTCAAGTTATACTAATTAACTAACATCAGTGTGTTACATGTAACAAGATGTAAAAGGTAATTTTGTGTAGACTTAGCATTGATAGAACATGTATTGCTGCTAGTGTGACAGAGCAGGTTAAGTGTGTAAGCTGGTCATGTAATAGAGACGCTCTTATGACCAGTATGGTGACAACTAAGCAAACAAGGGCAACCAGTCCACGGGCTGAGTGAGAAACAGTAGTTACTGGCCGTAACTCCAGTGTTATGAGTATGTGGGAGCTCTGTTATGGGCTTCACAATTGGCTAATTCCTTCAGGCTCCGCCTAAGAACCCTGATGGCCTGTCCAGACACAATGCCATTTGCTCTGAGCTGAGTTCAGGGCACTGTTAGGGGGTCTTCACAGTGCACAGTGCTGCATCCACGACTTTCACCTGCGCTATGCATGCGCTCATGGTGCAGCACAGACCAGTGGAAATAATGGGATGCAATGGTGCTGTTGTTGATTTGTATCCTAATACCCCATGAGACCTTTGAGATCTAGCAACAACACACTGTGGCCCCCTATAAAACCCCAGAACATATGCAGCCTCCTTGGCAACTCAGCAACATATACCAAAAAAGGGGGCCAGCTGGGCCTGCAGTTAGAGGGCTACACATGTACTCATAGTAACTGCTATTTCTTATATGCTCCGCCCTCTAGCGGACTTTGGTACTGGTTAACAGTAAGGTTAAGGCAATTAGGGATTGTTGTACCTCCAGCTGTATCTCAGCCTAGACCCCATTAGTCCAGCAAACTGACTGGCCGAGTGGCCTTAGGGTCCCAAGGACACATACCCAGGCCTGGTATGTGTCCTCAGGTTCCAGAAATTATTGGGGTTGCACTTGTGGAGACACCAAAAAGTGATTGTCGCCAAGTTGTACATATGCTGCTGTTTTTATCTGGATCAATCTGTAAATACATGTGATAATAGCAAAGGTGTGTATGGTGAACAATCAAGGCCAAAGAAGCACTTGCATTTTATAATGTAATCAGGCATGATGTGATTATATTCAACACTATATAGATGAGTTGGTTATTGATTTACCTGTATAGGCTCCTCTTTACCGAGGTCATCTGGAAAAGGGTGAGTCAGGTGGTGGGAGTGAGCTGGTTGTTGACTAGGCTAACTTTGGCTGGAGTCTTTATAACAACTTTGTTGCTGGTAACTTTACTTTTGTCTCCATGTCTGCCTTGGTGTCTGCAGCTTTCTAGGCTGTGTTGCTGCTAGGGACGTCACGATACCAGAAATGTAGTAGTTGATACCAATACCAGTGAAATTCCACCATTCTCGATACCTATTTTAAAAAGTAAAAAAAAAAAAAAGTTGTGTGCCTGAACTTGTCGCCATCTTCCATTTGTTATTGCGGCTAGACTGCAGCCTAGTAGTGGACGTTCCTCATCCTCCCTTGGGCAGAGGCAGAGCATGTGCTGGAGAAACTGTGCTTGAATGTGTTCTGAGTCACTCATATGTTGCCAGTGATGCAGTAATTAGTGTTAATGTTCTTTTACACATGTTTTTGGTAGATTACTGTCACTTTTGAGGTAAAACACTTTTGCACCATGAGATAAGTTGCTGATACAGTTAATGACATCTTGCTTGTGCGCAATAAGACCTGACTGGGCGTTACGAGCACTAATTCAACTGCCTCCCTCAATAAGATGTCAATCTCACGTTACTTCCTAAGAGGGTCACTATCAATCTCGTTACGTGTCTGTAATTTCTGTTCCTTCGATACCGTTTTTTGCCACATGGCATCGACTTGGTACCGAAGTATCGGTTCTGGTGACCACCCTAGTTGCTGCTGGTGTTCGACTTTGGCCTCCCCAACCAATTTTGATTATCCGTGTAATATTATCTGGGCAGGTAACACACTAGTGGGCTGAAGTTGTACAGCCGCGGGGCACCCAAGCCCAGTTGTGCACACAGACACCAAGCAGCAAACCTGACCAATTTTGAGTGCTGTTTTACTGAGTACATTACATGATGGTTAGACTAACCATCACAAATCCAATTTGTAATTTACACATCTGACTTCTTGAGGCTTGCCATGCGGTCCACGGGCGCAGGGCACACAGTACACAGTATGAGGGCTCCTCTGCTCCTCGCTACTGTGGGGAGGAAAAAATGCCTTAAGCCAAAAGTGATAACCTTGGGCTGAAATGATGGGTGACGTCCCAGTTCCACCACACCCCTGTCCTTGCTGACAGACATGCAGAAGGAGTTTCACCGAGAGAGCACATAGATCCCCAGCCCTCTTGGCAGAAGCGAGCACAGTCAGTTGAGCACAGTCTTGATCCACACCAACTCCAGGCCTGCTTGCTCCGGTGGCAGGCCTGTGGGACCAGGTCCCACTGGGGAGCAGAACAGCTAGCAATGTGCTTCACCCTTCGGATCCTCGCAGGAAGCGTTTGACCAGTGGTTTTCTTTTTTTCATATCAGCCCTCAGCCTGAAGTAGCCGAGAATGGGATTGGAACCTGAACATTACGTTTGGGTGGAGGTGTGAATCCCCTCTCTTGCCCCATCGCTGAAAAATCTGTGTCCGCGCATACCCTGGCATCGCGTAATCTCTGACGTCACCGTTAAATACAGAAACAGCCACGCAGTCAGAGTGGTGACCGGCAGTCCTAGAGTTAAAAGGAGAAAAACAATTTTTACCAGAAGAATGGAACCAGTCAGATTATTACTTCATTATTACTTAGTTGATAGTTAAGTTTTCAATTAAAGTGTTGTTGGTTATCAGCTGCTTGTATTTTTTGAAAAGTTTGTCTTACACTAAATGTATTTGAAAAGTTACCCACTTTCTTTCTAGGATGCAGATGTCCATTAGAGTCTGAGCTACGAGCAGTGATGCAGCAAAGGATTATGGTCCTGGATGGTGGGATGGGAACCATGATCCAGCAGCATAAGCTTGAAGAGGAACAATTCAGGGGCGACGAGTTTAAAGAGCACCCGCTTTCATTGAAGGGCAACAACGACCTTCTCAGCATCACACAGCCAGATATAATTTACAAAATACACAAGGTAATTCACCCAAGCAACTTTTTCTCACTTAGCTGTGGTGGTGTCAGTTCATATCAGTTTAGTGTGGGATTTTGAGATATTTGTGCAACCAAACCAATACAAATGAAATGATGAACTGAAATTGAATTTTGTTTGTGTTGCTTAAAAGCAGTGTAAAATGACATTTGACAAACTCAAAGCCAACATGTTTTGCAGGAATAATGTTTTGTTAATGTTAATCTTGATAATCCACAGACCTCCCTGCGAACCACTGTGTACTAAAAGAATTGTCCTTATGAAAACTGTCCACAGTGAGGTCTGTGGATCATCCAGAGTAACAGGGACAGTGTTTCTCGTAGTGGCTTGAATCTTGTCTGTTTTGGATGTACGTAACCTGTGCTCTCCTCTGTATAAAGGAGTACCTGCAGGCTGGGGCGGATATCATAGAGACGAACACATTCAGTAGCACTTCCATTGCTCAGGCAGACTATGGACTGGAGCACATGGTATGATGTCAACAGTGTTGGACCAGCGTGGACTCATGTAGTTACGTAGTTGTAGAAACAAAGGTCAGATACACAGACTGACTGGTGTTAACTCATTAACTGCTGATGAATTCCCCCACTTCTACAAACAACTGTACACTCTTCACCTAGTTCTGTTACCTTGCTGTTAACTGCACCTTAAACTACAACATCCTCTCAGCATTCAGCAGATACAGCTGAGACAGCTTGTCTTAATAAAACTCTTACCATTATGAATGAACAGAAAAGACATGTATTTCTCCAATTTAAAGTATTTTACAATTTTTTTGGCTCTATTTTCACAACAAAGTGTCAATTTGCAAAACTCTTACCAGAAAATAATATCAATAATATACTCACTCTACTAACTTTGGCCTAAGAAAGTCATATAACACATAATCAAATCATCTGTATTAAATTAGGTAATAATCACACAGTAATGTGTTACCTAGTTTCAAAACATTATATACTTACTGACCACATTATTAGGAACACCTGCTTATTCATACAATTATCCAGTTAGCCAATCGTGTGGTGGCAGTGCAGTGTATAAACCTGCAGATACAGGTCAGGAGTTTCAGTTAATGTTCACATCAAACATCAGAATGGGGAAAAATGTGATCTCTAACACACTATAATGTAGGTTAAGTTAAGTTAAGTGTTTGGCAACGCTGCTCTAGTTGGCAACAGAGAAAAGCCGATCTATTCACCAAACAATAAATGCGCTCTGACCCGACACCATAGGACAATTCATACGACTTCTTTTTAGGTGTTCAACAGCTACAGAGAAATAAAGCAGATTCATGGCAATTGCCAGTCTACCCGGTGCGATCGGTGCCAGAGATGGAACGAATGTAAAAAATTTTGCACCACCAATGGAGGAGGAGGTATTTGTAAACAGGAAAATCACACCATCAACAAACAGGTTGTATTAGATGCTACCTATACAGTTCTAGACATTGTTGTACAGTGTCCAGGATCTACACACAATTCAAGGATCTTAATGGAGAGTGAGCTGAGGAAGCTGTTTGAAAGGATCATATTCAAGCTGGATGTCAAAATGTTAAAATGATGAAATCCCCAGCAAGAATGAGAACTCCGTCAGGGTGGGCTGTCTGATGCTCACTGATGAGTAGTACTGTACAGAACTTGTTTTGATTGTATTACTCATTTATACCATGTGTGACTAGTTTTCATTTGTTGGGGTTTTTGCGTGTAGTTACCAAGTGACCAGATAAGACTATTTCCAGTTCAAGATAATCATAAAAATAATTATGTTGTTTGTCACAAGCTCATTTATCTTATTTAAAAAGTAAACCTCTGCTTTTGGTGGTGGTTGTGTGTTTGTGGTGCAGGCTTATCGACTGAACAGGGTGTCAGCGGAGCTGGCAAGAAGGGCAGCTGATGAAATTACCAAACAAACTGGTAAGCTGAATTTTTAGCATTAGAGCAGCATATCGCTATCTGGTAGATAAACGTACAGTCCCTGACCCTCAGGGGAATTCCTTGTTCGTGTTGCTTCAACTGTAACCTGTATGTGTTATCAGGTTGTAAACGCTATGTGGCTGGGGCAGTGGGTCCCACCAATAAAACCCTGTCTGTATCACCATCTGTGGAGAGACCAGACTTCAGGAACATCAGTAAGATGACTTACACATTTTTATGTCTGTGCTTTTTCAGTGTATCCGCAGGTCCTGGAACATCTTAAAAACATTTGATTAACTTTCCTGAAGGTCTTAGCAGGTATTAAAAAATATTATATTTAATTTACAGAAAATATAAATATTGTCTCTTGTGATACAATAAAAATCATTTTAGGTCATATGTTCTCTACTGGTTTCCATCATACTTTCATAGGATAGGAAAGATAGGAAAGTTCATTCTATGTGATATTAAAAGCCCTACATTTAACAACCTTTAACTGTGGCAACTATAAAGTTAAATAAATAAAAAGGAGCAGTGATAAATGAATGATTCAGTGAACAAGAGGTGGACAGGGGCCCTAAGACATACATATATTATTTACTGTTTTAGGGGCCATAGAATTTCTAGCAGCCATCCTGGAAAGTAAAAGTCATGATGTAACATGATGTATGCGTAATGTCAAATTTAACCTTTGCCCACCACGTGACCACAACAGTTGAGTTTGAGGTGACCACAACAGTTGAGTTTGAGGTGAACACAACAGTTGAGTTTGAGGTGACCACAACAGTTGAGTTTGAGGTGACCACAACAGTTAAGTTTGTCACTGGCTGTGTTTAAATGTCAGGGTATTGGTCATATGGTGGTTAGTTGTTTATATGACCTCTTGCCCCTCCCTCACGTACCTTTAACCTATTAGAAACATGTGGACATCTATTTTCTATTTTCATACATTAGAAGAGTAGTCTCTTTGGTTTCACATCTGTAACAGAAAATTTCAATTTCAATTCATAAACATGTGGCTTAGCACATATCTATACATGAAGTTTCTGACCATCTTCAGAAACAACTCTCAGTATTAAGCAGTTGACAACACCACTAATAACAACCTCAACATTAAACACAAAAATGAAATAACTCCTGTGTGTGTGTGTGTTTCTTCCCCAGAATTTGATGAGCTAGTAGAAGCCTACACAGAGCAGGTCAGGGGTTTATTAGATGGAGGAGCAGACATCCTTCTGGTTGAAACCATCTTTGACACTGCCAACGCTAAGGTAGCCCCATATAACTGATTTCATTATGTAACCAGGACCTGTATTCACAAAGCTGCTACTTCAACAGAGAAAATGCAACTTTGCAATGCTGACAACTTGGAGATCTCTAAGCCACCTGTCAGCTGATCTATTCACCAAACAATAAATGTCTCTGTGGACCCACATCACAGGACAATTCATACCATTTCCTTTAGATCTTCAACAACTTCAACAACAGAGAAATGTTACGCATGTGTTTTTACCAGCCCAGATGGTCTTTCATCAACCAATCGCTGACATTTTCACTTTTCCTTAGTAAAAGTTGGTCTCAGCAGCTTTGTGAAGAGGATTTAGGAGAAAACATTTAGTTAGAAACTTTAATTGCGACTTAGGAGAACTCTTAGTGGTAAGATAAAATACTTTGTGAATATGGGCCCTGATGTTTTATGTACAGTGATTGGTGCATCTAATGATTTATTTTCCCTTATACAGGCTGCCTTGTTCGCCATCGACCTGCTGTTTGAAAGCAGCTATGAAAGAAAACCTATATTTGTATGTTTATTTTTTTTATTATATTCCAACCATATTTTCCTCAATTTTGTTTAACAACAAAAAAAAGAAATTGTTCAAAAAAAAAAAAGGATGGACATTTGGCCACTATGTCAGCTGTCTTGGAGCTAACCAAGCATGATTGTGTTCTTTAGGGTTTAGTTGAGCTTATATTTAAATATTTCTTTTGCTCTCTCCCACTCACAATCTAGATCTCAGGGACCATTGTTGACCGGAGTGGACGAACTCTGTCTGGTCAGACTGGAGAGGCTTTTGTAGTGAGTGTATCCCATGCTAAACCACTATGGTAAGTTACTGAACCTCAAACCTAACTACACTTACTATGTCATATCATTAGAGTCTTGACAATAACACAACTGTGCTCTATTACTGGAGTAAAGCCCAGTCTCTTACTGGTTTTGTCCCTCTGTATGTTGCAGTATTGGTCTGAACTGTGCTTTGGGTGCGACAGAGATGAGACCATTCATTGAGGCCATTGGAAAAAGCACCACAGCTTTCATTATCTGTTATCCTAACGCAGGTAACCCACAGTCTAACCAACTACATATCTTCAAATCCAGGCCTGAAGCAGCTTATAGTTAAAATGTAATTACAAAGTACTCAAGGCTTCAATCCAGATTTTACATACAAAGTTTTGGGTTCCTTTGCTCTTGAGTGTATGTTAGCAGGACTGATTACAGCAGATGAGCAGAGTGTACGAAGGCTGGAGTGTGCCACCACAGCCATTATACAAATTTTCAGTGTTTAATGAATAAGTTAACAAGTTAAATAACAAATACAAATCAGAGATCAATCAACTAAAGATGATAATTAGATTTGCCACTTAGATTAGGTAGTTGTGTGGTAACAGTTGGCCAAGTAGAGCACCTGCTGTTGCTCTGTGGGTTGAACTTCATTTTCTAATATGACACTGAGCAGATGTCTTTAAATTATTTAAGCCTTTTTAATCTTTTTATACCATTCCATTTTAAAATTGAATTATTATTTGATCATTTCAAAACAGAATGACATATAAGTTTTCTATTTTACCATTTAAATGCAACTGCAATAAATACAATGTAAATGTATTAATTAATTGTAATTTAACATTGCATAAATCTATGATAAATCCATTGGCACACTCGAGGCTCCATACTAAATATTACTGACTTGAATATGGTACACATATAACCACCAAGCATGATTTACTTTATATTTCCACGTATTAAGGACTGAAACTTATAAATACATGCATGCACCGTTTTGGCACTCTTAGAAACAGCTTTCAATGTGTTCCTGTGTTCTACCACCAACACAAACTACAGCCTCAAACTGACCATTTTCACACAGTTGAAATTATTCTGCTCATATTTATAAGCAACTGTAGCACACAGGATCTTTGACATAGTTTAGGCTGCATTATGTATCATGATGTCATGAGCTGTGTGTGTTATCTTCTACTGATAAAGGTCTTCCCAACACATTTGGAGACTATGATGAAACTCCAGAAGTAACAGCCTCCAGTTTAAAGGTTTTGTTCTATTATTACTACTTGCATGCTGTGGTCCAGGTCTCATTCTCTACCCACACTCCCCATCACTCTGTAATGTCACACCTAAAAGCAAAATGCCACAAAATTAGATTAAACTAAGCAAGTTTTCAAATAATCCACCACCAAAACAATAAATTCATTTTTACTGTTTTTCTTAGAATGGGATGAGAGGATTGATATTAATATCATATTCGTGTGTTATGTACAGAGCTGGAGTCAGCAAGGCTTCACACTGCATATGCGAGTTCAAATTTTACGTGGTCACATTCGTACATGATGATCATTAGTTTTGGTGCACCCCCAGCACAGTTACTTTGTTAGCCACTGGGGTTGAAACTAGTGCTTTTTCTTCTTCACTGGCTCAATTGGTCTCTCCTTACCTGTACGTTCATCATTACGCTTGTACACCCAAAATGAGGGGAGGATGGAGGAGGCTGGTGGAGAGAGAGTGCCAACGACAGGTCAGACACACCTGATGATGAGACTTTAAGTACAGACTGAGCCAGTGAAAAAGAAAAAGTACTACCTTCGATAGCAATGGTCAATGCAGTACCTGTGGTTGTGAAAGGATAGGAATGCTATTCTGAGTGTGTATTATAGGCCTTGTGGCCCGTTCATTGCAGGCAACTAGCTAACAGACTAAGCTAGTTCCTGGGTCAACACAGTATAAGCTTGAACCTTTTAAGATGCACAATAGTAAGAAACACAAAACCAGCAGGGACTGATGCATCACCCCTTCCCACTTGTTTTCAGTGGTTAGATGAGAGTAATCGCTCAGTGGGGGAGAATGAAATGGTCATCAAGTTCAACACTGCCTATGAGACAATGAAAGAGGAACTCCCATTATGTGCTGGTGCTGTGGTACTCGGGACAGATCCAAGACACTAAACTGAACAAAGTGAATTTTTGTTGTGTATTGCTGTGTGAAGTCTGGACTCTATATTTTTGGTGAATTAAAGACATATATGTATGATGTTGTAAAGAACATTTTCTTTTGTTGGGTGTGGTTTTACATTGTAACTCCAATACACTGATTAACTCTGCCAAGTTTTCACCCGTGTATGTCCCGTGAAAGGTTTTAGTTTTATGTGTTTAAGCTATTACATGTCTAAGACTGGAAGCAGTCTTTATGCTAAGCTAGGCTAACCACTTCCTGACTCCAGCTCTGTACTTAACGCACAGACATGAGGTTCTCAGAAAGAAAGCAAATAAGCATATTTTCCTACATTAAATGATTGTAAACTTAAAGTCAAGCATTTCACAATGGCTTTATGCTTTTATCTGTTCTTTTCTTTATTCCTTTCTGTGTGTATTGTCTCTGTGTTGGTTTATAACATACACAATATTCTTGAAAAAGATATTGGTCTCAAAGACCATCCTGGTTAAATAAAATTTAATTTCAAAATGAAAAAAAAAATGTAAAAACTGCCCCTGGCTGCATCATTGCTGCAGCTAAGTTTCTGTGTCTTTTGTCTACAGGAATTTGCTAGAGATGGACTAGTGAATATTGTGGGAGGCTGTTGTGGGACGACTCCAGGACACATCAGGTCACTGTTATGTTTCTGACAAGTCTCTTTCTGACATTGAGTTAACTTAAGTTTCATACAATTTTTAAGATTTAAAAATAATTTTTCTCTCCCCTCCTTCATGCTCCTACAGAGCCATACATGAAGCAGTTAGAAACTGCCAGCCAAGAGCTCCTGCTGCTGACATTTATCAAGACTACTTGCTGCTGTCAGGTATGATAACTCCTGTTACCATCTGCGGAGTCTGTAGTGAAACTTGATAGAAAGATAATGCTAATACATGTGAATATAATTTTTAGTCACTTTTACCTTTACCTAGTAAAGACCTAGTTGATCAGGTTGTCGATGAATATATAAAAAAAATATTGACTTAAATTACAGTAAGTTCTCAGTGATTTATTTATTTACCTTAACTACATAGAGAACAAAGGCCCTTTTTGGAAACAGGCTTAGATTAATGACAGACCTTAGTGTGTGAGGTTTTGTAGCTATGAATCCATGTGCTCTATCCTGCTCCTGTTTCTGCTTGCTGTTGATGCAGATTTAGAACCTCTGTGTTTGCCTGATTTTGATCATTTCAGTATAATGTGGTTTGGCAAATGTCCACATACAGGCTTATTCAGATCTTTTGACCACCTTTCACAGTCATAGTTTGCTCAGTGAAAAATAAAGAAAATATAATCATGTATGTGTAATGAGTAAAAAGTCTCTGTCTGCTGAAGAAAACCATTAGATGCAGTTACCTGCTCCAGAAACAGCTAATAAGTGGACCCTGAGTTAATTGTTTCTGTCAAACTGTTGTTCCCAAGGTCCCAAGCTTTTGACAACAACACTTCCTGCTGTTGTTTCATATTAAAAAAACTTCTAGCAGCTCAAAAGCTATAACCACTCCCTTTCCTGGCACGCTTTTAATTTGAAATACACGTACACGTGGTAGCTTAACATAAAACAGTATTTGGGTTAAAAAGAGAAACTCAGAGCAACACTGGTGAGTGTGAATAAATCTCTTGCTTTACTGATGAAATTAGAACTGTGCAAATGTACATTATATACAGTATATATATATATATATATATATATATATATTATACACTCCCAGCTGTTATTTGATACTTTAATACATCTACATCCAGACATGGGAGTTTGTTTGTATCTTTATCTTTAAAATGATATAGTGGTGCTGAAACTTCCATGCCCTGCTACAGGAGAGCTCCTTACCTCTGCTTATTCTTATCCAAGTTACAGGATGTCAGTGAGATAAAATGTCTGTTTGATTTAAAGGTTTAGAGCCATTCAGGATCGGCCCTTATACCAACTTTGTAAACATTGGAGAGCGATGCAATGTGGCTGGGTCACGCAAATTCGCCAAGTTGATCATGGCAGGAAACTATGAGGTGAGACAGAATTTCAGAAAAAATGTTTTTTTATGTATTCATTTATTTCAGAGTTTGCAGTCAAAGCATGAGCAGAGGTGAAACTCAATATTGCAATTAACTGTTTGGTGTGTGCTTCCCTCTTTGTTTTCCAGGAGGCACTAAGTATTGCTAAGGCCCAGGTGGAGATGGGAGCCCAAGTCCTGGATTTAAACATGGATGAGGGGATGCTTGAAGGGCCTACAGCCATGGCTCGATTTTGTAAACTCATTGCCTCTGAGCCAGATATTGCCCGGGTAAGATTTAAAGGCATTCGAAATGAACACACACAATTTCTCAAGAAGATATTTCGGCCATGTTATTATAGGCCATGTTATTATATCGTATTGGGTATATTGCAATATTGTTATATTATTATAGAATCATATATTACAGAAAATAGAATGAAAGTATACTATTAAAGTATTTTTTTACAAGGACAGAAATACTTTAGCACCCAGTTTGACATCTTGCACGTTGCAGATTGTGATTGAAAGAGATGCCAATATCACTAAATTTTGTATTCTTTAATTCAGCCTCACACATTTCATTTTCTTTTGTGCAGTCACACAGCTGTATGGATGTAGCAGCAAAAAACAGAATAGAAAGAAACAAACGTGTGCAACTACACAAGCAAAGTTGACCCATCCAGAATTGAACTGTATGTCTACGCAGAAAGCATTTTAATTCTACAGTCGTCCTTCTCACACATTTCTGATGGAACAGATACACTTCTGTTTTAATCAATCCAGCTGTCCACACAGACTGTAGCAGCTTATGTTTTACTCCAACTACATGCATGAACCAAAGCGTATTTTTAGGCTTTAGGTCTGTTTTCTTTAGTGCTTTTGTCTTGGCTTCTGAGCGCTGCCAACACCCAGGTGACATGCACTCAATGCTGTGCCTGAAGGCATCCTGTGTAGACACAGATGGAGCACTGTAGCTGCTGCCATGATGAGCAATGGAGCTCCGATACTATGATTCACCATGGCAACAGAAAAATAAAGAGCAGAGGCTCCATTCAAATCCAGTGGAGCTAGAAACATTAATGTGTGACATTAAAAACACAGCAGAAGTGAAAGAGCCGTCTAAAGCTTCACAGAGATTTTATTTGTTTGTTTACAGTGATTAATGGACAGAAAATGTTTCGGTGAAGAGGAACTGATTAACAACCTGGCTGTTGTGTTAATGTCACAGTGTGAGAAAGACAGACAGTATAGTATAGATTTATATATTTTAGCTGAGCTGAGGGTGAATCCACCATTTGGAATATTTGAACATGTGGACAGAGATCACTGTCTTTGTACTTGCTTTGATGACTGATTCTTAAAAGAAGTTCAGATAGTAAGTAATGAGAAGCTGAGGATAACAAACTAATATCCAACAGGGATTTTGTTTTTCCTCTCCTGACACAAATGCCTGCAAATCACAGAGCTCCTCTATGATATGGACTAAAAGAATGAAGTGCAGTGCTGTGTCAGACAGCTCCTTCAGACTAGTGTTTATCAGCCCAGAGCTGCTGCCTGTATGACTGCAGAGTTCATGTGGGGATAGACAGACTAGTTAAAAATTGGTACCTGTTTTTTACATCAGAAACTTACATCACAAAAACACAAACTTGCAGCAGAGTCTTGAAATGTATAATTTGTAAACTATTTTTTTGTGTTCACTCTGATCTTTCACAGTGTTCTCCATCACTTTCAGTTGTTTGTTTACATTTTATTTTCCTTTTTGTTTTCTCTTGAAAATGCCTTAAGTTAGCACATGAACTTCTCAATAACAAGACTGTTAATTAACCTGCTCAGTAAATCAGAGGAGACTGAACCTCTCCTTCTGCTCCCCAGGTTCCTCTATGTATTGACTCCTCTAACTTCTCTGTGATTGAGGCTGGGTTGAAGTGCTGTCAGGGGAAGTGTATAGTCAACAGTATCAGTCTGAAGGAAGGAGAGGAGGAGTTCCTGCTCAGAGCTGCTACTGTGAAGCGCTACGGAGCTGCTGTGGTGGTCATGGCCTTTGATGAGGAGGGGCAGGTGAGGAGACAAACAAACACTCTATCACACACAAACTTGCATGTTGATCATTGTTTTTCCTCTCCAGGCCACAGATACAGACCGCAAAGTGGAGATCTGCAGTCGAGCCTACGAGCTGCTGGTCAGCAAAGTGGGCTTTGACCCCAACGACATCATCTTTGACCCCAACATACTCACCATCGGCACAGGCATGGAGGAACACAACAACTATGCTGTCAACTTCATCAGGGCTACCAAGCTTATCAAAGTAATGCACTTGTCACTCCCAATGCAAATATGTACTAATGCAAATTCAACCGATGCTTACAATATTTGTGAGAATTATCAGTTTTATCCATCCGTCCCTGTACCTTTACACGAAATGGTCAAAGTTTAGCAGTCACTTACAAACTACTAACTACTGTATACCAAATATAAGAGGAATGCTCATGAACTAATTTACTTTTATTCATATATACACAGAAAAATAAAACGAATGCTCTTAAACTTCAATAATTTTCAAACGATTAAAAGTGAGTGCTTTAAACAATTGCTACTTTTAGCTGACTTTCAACTGATTGAATTTGAATTGAAAATTGTAGTTTGTATAACACAATAACCAGCTCCAGGTGGACTGCATCATTCAGTGTGTGTGTGTTTGTGTGTGTCTGTGTGTAGGAGACCTTACCAAAAGCCAGGGTGAGTGGAGGTCTGTCCAACCTCTCCTTCTCCTTCAGAGGAATGGAGGCCATCAGAGAAGCTATGCATGGAGCGTTTCTTTACCACGCTATCAAGGTAAACACTGACGCACAACTTTCCATCCACACACCCCACTGTTGACAGAGTTCACATTGTAATAGCTGAGATCTGTGAACATGGTCAAGAAACTGAAGTAGTCAGACAGGTTGAAAATAGTTTATCCAAACCACTTTATGTGGAGGTCAAACTGAACGTGAGCTCACGTGAAGTGAACAGGAAAACAAAAAAAGAATGCAGAAAGTACAGAAGGTCAAAGTTGAAGCAGGAAGTTGGTCTGTTAACAATGATGAATGTTTACAACAGACATTTTAATGAACTTGGTGAGTGTAATTTGAAAGCTCTGAAATTATGACTCCACATATAATAAACTGCAATTATCCTTTAAGATTGTAGTAGAGTTGGAAGCCTGTCTGTAAATAAAAACCCTCACACTCCTGTCCCAGGATGGTATGGATATGGGGATAGTGAATGCTGGAAACCTGCCGGTGTACGATGACATCAATAAAGAGCTGCTGCTACTATGTGAAAACATCATCTGGAACAGAGACACTGGTGCCACTGAGAAACTACTGGCCTACGCACAGGTACACATATGAACAGTACACTGAGCTGATGTTGCTTTAGTTCGGTTAACAGGTGTTGACGTTACGACTCTTGTTAACAGAACAATGTGAAAGGAGGGAAGAAGGTGGTTCAGACAGACGAGTGGAGAGAAGGAAGTGTGGAGGAGAGACTGGAGTACGCTCTAATCAAGGTAAAATATCTGATGATTAGATTAGATTCATTTAGGAAATGTGAAAAAAGTGAAGGGGTCTGAATATTTTCTGAATTCAGAGATAACACATTTTTGCTCCTGTGGGAGATGTTCACAAGGTTGCACTTGGTTGTTTACATGAATAGTTGTGTAACAAATGAAAAAATAAGGTTAGAGAAGTTCAGTCGTTGGCTGGACAAATGGATGGACACATGAAGGATTAATGAGTTTACAGCTGCTCTCTGTACTCTGATTCAACTCATTTCAGTCACTAATATATTAGCTCTCAAACAGAAATGATTTTAGCTCAGGGTTTTTGCTGTACCTGTATGTACTTTCACCCAACTTGTAAACATGACAAGGTACTTGTTACTATAGTCATTTAAATGAGTGACATTTAAATGATCACTCATTTCAAATATTAGTAAATGCTGTCACATATTTCGCTGTGACAGGCTCTGTAATAGGCTCTGTAATGCTGCACCCTGTGCTGTTGCTGTGTAGGGAATAGAGAAGTATGTCGTGGAGGATGTGGAGGAGTGTCGCTCTCAGGTTGACCGCTACACTCGACCCCTTCACATCATTGAGGGCCCCCTTATGAATGGCATGAAGGTGGTGGGGGATCTCTTTGGAGCTGGGAAGATGTTCCTGCCACAGGTAGGTTGATACTAATTCCATTTTTTTCCTGTGTCCTTCTTGCATTGGTCTTTTTCCATCAACATGTCCTGGACTGTTATTGTTTGTTTTGTGTCATTCTTTTCCTCTGGTTGGCTGTTTAACCGGTTAATGCACTCCTTGTGTCAGAGTGAAGATGGATTCTAATAGATTTACATACATTTAGATTTACATAGATTACATTTACATAGTCTACAACTCGTAGAGGATTGACGTTGATATTCGTGTTTCAGAGTAAAAACTCATGTAATTGGCAGGCTCAAATTACATATTTTGTTCTTGTTATTTCCAATATTTTGCTGGTTCATAGAAAATATATCAGCTCTGTTGTTGTTTTTGTTATTCCTCTGATTTTTAAACTTTGACTTTGGGAATAACAAAAATCAAACTTGTTAAGTTCCATTGTTCCAGGATTTGTTACTTTTGAACACCTGGATGTCGACACTGACCCACGTCTTATATTCCCAGATGTTAACTGCCCTTCTTCTATGACGCTACATTACTTTTTGTAACGGGATTTACCCCAAAATGATGAAAATGAAATGTGATTTTTTTTCCTCAGGAAAGTCCTTACAGACAATAAACATATACAGTATATGTATATGCTGAATATATGTATGTATATGTGTATGTATATGTACATCATCAGCCTTGTGAACGCCCACAAGAGGTTAAATACTTGGGTCTCCACACCAGTAAGTTAGACCAGTCCCAGCCTGGTCAGATGCGTACACGAACTGATGAAGCCTCTTGGATGAGAGGTGAAACGTCTTCCCAGACAAATAATCAAGTCCAGTTGCGTTTTGATCTAAAACTCCTTTAGGATGTGTATGTACTGTATATATGTGTGTGTCTATATATGCTGCAAAATATATATTACTTATTTCAACGGTGCCCCAAATTTCATTAAAATCATACAGAAATATCTCACCTACCACTCTTAAATTTTGGATTAAACAAAGCAATGGTCACCACTGTCTTTCAGCATTTAAAACTACTGTGGCACTGAAGTTACAAGTCCTTGTGTGTTTGCAGGTGATCAAGTCGGCTCGTGTTATGAAGAAGGCAGTGGGCTATTTGATTCCTTTCATGGAGAAGGAGAGGGAGGACATGATGGCATCATCAGGGTCAACTGAGGAGCTGGTCAGTCTCAGCTGAATATGAAGATATTTCCATGAACATTTAAGAATATCTTTTCACAGGATATCTGTGAGACAAGTGTGTGTAATAACCTGCGTGAACACAGAACATGACACACAGAGTGTATAAGAGTGAAATCTTATACAAATTATACAAATTAATTAAAAGCTATTTTTATGATATGTGTTTTTAGCAGAGAGAAGTGGTGTGGATTGTGAACAGTAGTTTCTTCCACAGCCATGATGGAAAATAAGCAGTCACACTTTTAGAAGTATGAAAAGAGCTTTTTTTCCTGAACTAAATATGCACCCCATAGAAACAAATGACACCACACACAAATAAAAAACAGCCAGTTCAGTCTGTTCTATGGTCGTACACTTACCCTGTTGTTTTCTTCTTGGTCTGCAGGATCCCTATCAAGGCACCATAGTTCTGGCTACAGTGAAGGGAGACGTCCACGATATTGGCAAAAACATCGTTGGTGTGGTGCTGGGTTGCAACAACTTCAGGTGAAACTGGTGTGCTACTAAGTTTGAATGGTTTACAGTCTGAAATTCTTCACAAAGCATTAGGTTCTTTTTCCACCACACCCTTCCCAGTATATTCAGTCAGTGAGCTGCACTTTTCCTCACAATGCATTGTAAATAACAGCAAATACATTTGTTGCTGACTGGAATTAACATTTAAAACAACCAGTCAGAAAGCAGACTTTGTTAGTCTGCTGTTATTAACAGTGTGTGATTGCACATCAAGAGCCTCCACTCATCATATAGATGGACTCTGAAGTTCACACGTACAGCTCCTCTGGGTGTATGTGTCAGAGCACTACCAGTGGCACTGACAGTATTTCACTGAACAGCTTAGATAATTAACCAGGAGTGAAGAAGCAGTGTTGCCAGGCCCTGGGCACCACCCCAACAGTATTACTGCTGTTTAATGGCACTAATTTGCTCTGTGTGTGTGTGTGTGTGTGTGTGTGTGTGTGTGTGTGTGTGTGTGTGTGTGTGTGTGTGCGTGCGTGCGTGCGTGCGTGCGTGCGTGCGTGCGTGCGTGCGTGCGTGCGTGCGTGCGTGCGTGTTTATTAACTAACAACATATGTGGGTTTATCCTTACCTTCTGTAAAATAGAGCAAGTTGGAGTGCACTTCATGTTTATGTCACTGCCGTAGCGAGCACATTGTGGTGGCAGAAAAACAGTTGAAACAAGTGGAGGGAAAAGGATCTCAGGGATAAAGGGAAAAAAAGTTTGAAAAAAAATTTGCTGGTGGATGTCAGAATAGGAATGTAAAAGGATGATGCTCTTTAAAGAATACTATCATTGAAGATACCCTCTTTGAAGCAAATGCAGATGTTCATGTTTACAAGTCATTAAAGGTACTGACTGCATTGATGAAATCTCCACAGTTTATCACACACAAACAAAAACAATCACATAGTTAATAAAGATTGAATAATAATGATTCAAATCTTTAAATGAAAACTGAATTTGGCTTTCAAATCATCTGTTCAATGTTCGTCTCATATAGAAAGAGACATTATACATTGATTGATTGCAATTGATTGGTTTTTGTCCTGCACCATGTGGTACCCAGCCTATATAGGCTTATAAGATACTAGACAACAGCCACTATCTGTCTGCCTCAGTTGCCAATGGCACTGTATAACTGTATAACCCAGCACAGATGGATCTCTGTCACAAAAAATACAAGGCTTTGATGTTATTTCAAATAAATACATCAGTTATATCGAAGAAATAATTTGGAGGTGTTTGTTCTCTTTCAGAGTGATTGACCTGGGCGTGATGGTTCCCTGTGATCGGATCCTTAGAGAGGCCATTACACAGAAAGCAGGTACAGTACACTGCTTAGATTCCATGTTGTCACTGGGAAATGTTGACAGAACATATTTAAATTAGCAAACTCCCCCAAAAGAATATCATAGATATCATATTTCATATAAATGATTCATTCAGCTGATCATCATTCAAATATAATGGTAGTGAAAGACAGAGCTCTTGGTAGTGAAGATGAAAATAAAACATTGTGTTGCGTTCAAAGGCTCATCGTTGATTTTGGTAAAGTTCAAGCTTCAGCTTTCTTGTCATTTCCACACATACACATGTCATACATACAGGGAAACAATGTCGTTCTTCGTGGATCACAATGCAACACATAACGGACAATAAATATGTGTGCAAAACAGTAACACCTGCAAGAAAAAAGTGGTAGCCTAAAACAGTTATTTACTCTACCCCCCAAACCATTGCATATACACTTTTTATGTTTTCATATTAGCCTGGGCATCTATGTGCCAATGCTAATTATTCAAACTATTGCTGCTGTATTAATTCTTCTTCTCTTATGATAGCAGTAGCAGTAATATTGGCTGTGAATTATGTCTGTTCTTGCAGATATCATTGGTTTGTCTGGTCTCATCACTCCCTCTCTGGATGAGATGATCTACGTGGCCAAAGAGATGGAGAGACTGGGGATGACAACACCACTGCTGATTGGAGGAGCCACAACATCAAAGTAATGCAAACACAAACACGCATAAATCCATGATAAAGTGGAAATACACCTCACTGATCAACAAACATTTGCAAAAAGCAGCTTGTTATGATGTGCATCGCAGGAGACCTGTAGCTGTCTGTACTCTCCAGAGACCCACACAGGATGTGATAAGTGGTGCTTATGTGTAATGTTTCTCTAAAACATCACACAATGTAATGTGTACTTTCAGAGAAATATATCCGTTATATAGAATTAGGCTATTAGTAAAGTAGTACCTCTGCTGGTCATTATAAAAGGAAGCTAATATCTTGCAGTGCTTTCTTGGGTTTCAAACATTTGTGTTTTGTATTTGACAGGACACACACAGCAGTGAAGATTGCCCCCCGCTACAGTTGTCCTGTTATCCATGTTCTGGATGCCTCCAGGAGTGTGGTGGTGGTCAGTACATCTACCTGAGCTCCGTGAATCTTTTTTAGGGTCTTAACTCTTTTTCTCAATTCTTTGGAGAAAAGCACATAGCATTCATTTAAAATTAATCAATATGTCTTTGATAACAGGCTACAAAAAATATCCCATCAAGACAAAATAAAAACTTGTTTTGTTAGGAAATCCTTTAAAAACCCAAAACAAAAACTTGTTCCTTTGCCAGCAGTCTAACACATGGCACCACATTTCACTGAAATCTCTTTATTAGAACTCCAAATCACAAACAAAGGAGAGTCAAGGTCAGAATCTCTTCAGGAGTTATTGATCTCTTATTGTATGTGATGGTCGGAGAGTTGACATGAGTTGATGTGGCCACAGATATGAGAGAGGTTTGAGCTGATTGGTCCAAACTACAGTGTGTTTTATGCCCCACTTGTTTGCCTGTCTGTCAGTGTTCCCAGTTGCTGGATGAGACAATGAGGGAGGAGTATTTTGAGGACCTGAAAGAGGAGTATGAGGAGATCAGGCAGGACCACTATGACTCTCTGAAGGTAAGAATGGCTGGTAGAAACTAGGGGACACTACCCATGGTTTAAAAGTGTTTTCCTGGATCCAGTGACCCACATAGGTGACCTTCTTTGAGATCAGTGTTGCATCGCTATGTACCTTGATCACAAGTAAATACAGACTGGTAGAGTCAGACAAATCCAGACAAATTAAAACACACCTGAGCCCCTGCACACAGCTGCAAGACAGATACATATGCAATTTCACACAGGCGCATTTATGGTAGTTTTTTTACAAATTGAAGTATTTGTTGCTATTAAGTCTGCATACATACTGCATGTTAAGTGAAAATGTGCTGCTGGAAGAAGCGGCTTAATAAAGGTGATTTTTTTCTTTTCAACAAACTATCTGATTAAAGGATGATCTGGTGTTACAGTATTCTGTATTTTTCTTATTTTGAAATCCCATGAAAAGACCCAAACCATCAATGTCTTAGTCCATATCTCTATGCTTTCCTACTTCTCAACTTTGACTGGTTCTCAGACTTAACGCCTTTGGTTCCTACTGAAGATGTAGATCTTTAAACACATCTCAAAAACATAATTTTTATAAAAAGGATCAGTACTTTTCTAAAACAACTGCCCACTGACATTTTTGTGTTATATTCTTTTCAGAGAATTTGACCTTTATGCTGGAGCCAGATATAGCCTACATTCAAAAGTAACAGTCAAGAGTGTGTGTGTATGTATGTGTGTGTGTGTGTGTGTGTGTGTGTGTGTGTGTGTGTGTGTGTGTGTGTGTGTGTGTGTGTGTTAATGTTGATGAAGGAACATGTCACCCAGTGCAACAGTGTGACTCACTGATGTGTTTTTAATAGTCTTTGGAAACAATGGAGCTCTGTGGCTCAGAGGGATCAGATATATCAGGTTGTGATACACATACAGTACTTGTTAATAGGAGACATTCACTGATGGTTTGACTGCACATGAGATCTCCAGACAGTAAGAAAATGTGGAATATCACCAGATATTCCACAAGGCATTAGTTGACTATAAAATATGATCTGATCTTCACCTAAGTCACAAGTATAGATAAATGCAGTATGCTTAAGCTAACAACACACTAACAATTATATTCTTTGGTGTCCTTGTTGAACCCAGCCATTAAACATCCATAGTGCTGGTGGAAAAAGTAAGTGAACCCTTGCATTTAGTAACAGGTCGAACATCACACCAGCTCTTCCGGTAGCTGCTGATCAGACCTGCACAATGTTCAGGAGGAATTCTGAACCATTCTTTGCTGCAAGCAGCTGTCTGAGCTCAGTCCACGGCATCTCTACTGAATTAAGGTCTTGGCTCTGACTGGACCCCTCCAGAAGGTGTTTTTTTTTTTTTTTTTTTTGTCTGAAGTCATTCTGTAGAGGATTTACTTTGATGCTAAGGGTCATTGTCCTGCTGCATCAGCTGCACCTTCCTACTTCACCTTTGGGGTGATGTTTTCATGTTGGTATGCAGAGCTGTTTTTACACCATACATAGTGCTGCATGTTCTTCCCAAACAATTCAACCTTAGTTTCATCACTCATTATTTTCCCAGAAGTGTTGTGGAGTGTCAAATGCACAGTATGGACTGAACAATACACTGATTTATTAGTTATTTATATGTTAAAAAAAATGTTGTTGGCTCATAGCTGCAACTTAGATAAAGATCTGAAAATATTTTAACAAATGTATACACAAATTCAGATATTTCCAAATGGTTCACTAACTTTTTCTTTCTTCTTTATATCTGCTGTTACAGGGCCCCAGACTGCGACCAATGTCCAGACTTGTTTTTTTGTAGTTTGATGGATGTGTGTTTGTACATGTATTTTCATGTAAAGCACACTGAGTTTAGTAGTAATGAAATGTACTAAATAAATAAAATCGCCTTCTCTTCCTCTTCATCTTCCATCTCCGTCTGTTGCCTTCAGGATCGTCGGTATCTGTCTCTGTCCCAGGCCAGAGAGAAGGCGTTACATATAGACTGGCTCTCTCTGCCCAGACCAGGTGAGTTGGTACAGGTGAATGAATTCCAAAATCATTAAAGACACATTCTGCCTCAGATTCACTGATATACTTTCAGTCTGTCATGCTAATCTTTGGGGAGTCTGTCTTTATAACCTTTATTTTAATGTCTGCTGGAGATTGCAAATTTTCCAAAGACACCAAACATATCAAACTGGATTTTGGAAAATGAACCACAAGATTGCAATAATATTTGCAAAAAACTAGCAAATACAGAATATTTATGTGCTATTGTCTTACAAAAAGTTCTGATTTTTCAGCTGAATTAAAACCCTGTATTTGTCTGTGTGTGACAGTACGTCCTCAGTTCCTGGGCACCCGTGTGTTTGAGCAGTATGACCTGAATAGTTTGGTGGACTTCATTGATTGGAAGCCTTTCTTTGATGTGTGGCAGCTGAGAGGAAAATACCCCAACAGAGGTTACCCCAAGATCTTCAATGACAAGACTGTTGGTACGAGCTCAGCCTCTGTTAGGGTCCATCCATCCAGCTACATTATATTCAAATGTTGCTCATGCATTACATTTTATTTGAACTCTTGGTTTTGTAAATAGAAATTTGCAAGAAGAAAACATAAGTTTAAAAAAAAAATAATATAGTCTTGCTGATTTATTTTAAAGGAGCAATAGACAGGTTTTTTGCTCTAACTTGTCATTATAAAGTAAATAATGTTGCTATTAGTAGCTTCCCCCAGTTAGTGAAAATAGCAGACGGTGGAACACCCAAATTGACTGTGGAATCTCTCCCCGGCAAAAGAAAAAGACCCCTGTTGTTGGAGGAGGCAAAGAAAGAGAGAGTGATAGGAACCGAGGTGAAACGAGAGTGAACCTTGGACAGGCATTCACCCGATGGAGGGAGTTCCAGGACTTGAGAGGGATCAAAGCCAGCATTCAGTTGGCCTTATTTCTACTAAATCAGGACCTAACAAACCCTGGGGGGGGGTCCACTTTAACTTATTTAAATGATAAATATCGTGGTTTAAAATAAGATTATTTATTTGAGCCCTATTTAAAAATTCATAGCACTATTTACAAAAATAAAACTACACATTACTGGATGTCAAGTAAGCTATGTTGATGACAAAAAAACACAGGCAATAGTGAGATGGAGGAGTGACTTCCAGAATTGTTGAATACTTTACAAACAGTGAAACCATGTCTCATCTTAATGATATTTGGGTCCTGAAGGTTTGGAGGCTCGGCGTGTCTTTGATGACGCCCAGCGGCTGCTCAGCCAGATGATTGACACCGGCAGTCTGAAGGGTCATGGCCTGGTGGGATTCTGGCATGCCCAGAGTGATGGTGATGACATCAATGTGTATGAAAATGATGTCACAGTGCGCAGAGACACCAAACCCATTGCCACTTTCCATGGCTTACGGCAACAGGTGAGGGACATACTGTAAAAGAAATATAACATAAAAGTAAAAGTTCTGCTGAGTATCTTAGGTCATTACAGGAGGAAAGTGTAAAGAAGTTGAACAGAACAGAAATAAGAATATCACAGATTCTGTCTTAGATGCATACAAACCTTTCTTACAAGAACATGAAAAACATATACTGAAGGGTTGCTCTCAAAATCATGACGCATGATTTCTTGAGAACTACTAACTAGATTACCATGAAAGTTACTGAGCACATTTGGTTGCATTGGCAGCTCATGCAGATGTCAACCAAATATTTTATTGCTGTTGTAGTAGTACATGTCTTCAACTGGATTGAAAAAGAGTTCCCATTACGTAGCAAAACTCTGCTGCAGCCACCAGGATCTTCTGACAAGGTAGAGTTGGACAACTGCTGCTTATAGTAGATTTTAGATCTAGTATAGGAGATATCTAGATTTTCTGATAAATTCTCACTACAACCTTCTCCATTGTCTCCATCCTGCAACATTTTTTTTCTTTGTTAAGCTGTGCATAGATCAACTTGAAGTTTTGTCATCCAGCTAATGAGGTTACTTTCAAGACTATTCAATAGGATCATCAGTAGTTCAAACGATCATCCTCACCCTTAAAAATCTGCTCCATCCAACCTGGACCTAGCAGGACTGATACTACCAGATCACGTGAGCAGATGAGATGTTGCTTATCACCAATTCAATGATTTTGGGTCCCAAAAAAGAAAAGGGACTCAGCTGTGAGACGACACTGCAGAAGTTGGCAAAATTTTACCTCTGCTGTCTGTGATAATAGCTGATGTCAGATAATGCCTTGCATTCTTAATTTTAAGACCTAGAGGAGTAAATTTTCCTGTAGTGTTCCACTAGATATTACACACATCATTTTACTATCACCAGACTAAGTGCCAATTTCATTTTATCCTTGAAAGATCAACTTTCTTCATCTGGGTGATTCCAACCTCGTTGTTCATTACTAATGCTCTGCTTATTCAGTTGCTTATAAAGCAGCAGGGGAGATTTGCAGAGGGTGTCTGGATTCCAAAGGAGGAAAATGCCAATTACATTACGCAATTTAGAACCATCTCACTCCTCAGCTCGGAAGGTAAAATCTTTAAGATTCAACGCCTGAAAATACCTAGATAGATAGATAGATAGATAGATAGATAGATAGATAGATACTTTATTTATCCCCTAGGGGGAATTCATCTATACATTACCTCATTGTTGATAGTAAATAATAATAATAACAGTTGATAATAAATAAACAATGATAATTAGATTAGTCCACTTCCTTTGGCTTAGGTGTTTGTATAACCTAATGGCAGTGGGAATAAAGGATCTCTTGAACCTCTCTGTTCTGCAGCGCAGTGACATGAGATGTTTGCTGCAGCTGTAGCTGCTTGTCTGTCCTGCCAGAATGTTGTGGAGAGGGTGGTTGGTATTGTCCAAGATGGCCTTCATCTTACATTGCATGCGTCTCTCCATAACAGTCCTGAGTCCAGACTCCTGCCAAGCACAGACCCAGCCTTTTTGACCAGCTTGTCCAGTCTCTTTGTGTTCATGTCGGACATGCTGCTGCCCCAGCAGACTGCAGAATAAAAAAGTACACTGGCCACCACTGACTGAAAGTCCAAGACCATCTCCTTGGTCAGATCCATGTACTCCTCTTCCTGCCCGTTCCTGATACGCGCCACAATAGCTGTGTCACCCGAGTATTTCTGGATATGGCAGGACTCAGAGTTGTATTTAAAGTCCGCCGTATACAGGGTGAACAGGAATGGAGCCAGAACAGTCCCCTGTGGAGCCCCAGTGCTGCTCATCACCGTCCCTGAGACACAGTTTCCCAGCCTGACATACTGTGGTCATCTTGTCAGGTAAACCACAATCCAGCACATGAAGCAGAGATCCACCCCATCCCCTCCTGCTTGTCTTTATGAATGGGGTGTTGGATGGTGTTAAATCCACAAAGAACATAATCCTCATGTAACTACCTGGCTCATCCAAGTAAGAATGGGCCCGGTAGAGCATGCAAAGGATGGCATCATCCACTCCAATATGTTCTTTGTACGCGAACTGTGGGGGGTCTAGTGCATGTTCAACCTGTGGCTTCAGAAGGCGGAGAAGCAGCCGCTCCAGGGTCTTCATGATGTGAGGGCCACCGGTCATTTATCTCAGCCGGTCGTCCTACTTTAGGTACCGGAACAAGACATGATGTTTTCCACAGGACCGGGACCCTCCCTGTTTGTAGACTTAAGTTGAAGATCCTCTGGAGAGGCTCAGCCAGCTGGGCTGCACAGTCCTTTAACAGCCTCGGACACACACCATCCAGGCCTGTTGTCTTTCCAGGACGTAGCCTCTTGAGCTCCGCCCTCACCTCCTCCGCTGTAAAGGACAGGAGACTTGACCCCAGTGTGGAGGGAGTTGCAGCTGCAGTGTCAGGTTGTGAAGGAGATGCCGTAGGAGAAGCTGCAGCTGAAGCAGTGGGAGAGAGAACAGGTGAGGCTGTGTCAAACCTGTTGTGGAACAGGTTGAACTCATTGGCCTTGTCCACATCACCTGATGTTGCCTGGCTGTTCTTGTCCTTATAGCCAGTGATGGTCGTCATCCCCTTCCACACCACTCTGGTGTTGTTGTGCTGCAGCTTTGTCTGTACTTTCTTTTTGTAGTCCTCCTTCACCTGCTTTAATCTCCTCATCAGCTCATGTTGCACACACCTGCGCTTCTCCCTGTCTCCATCCCTGAAGGCCTCCTTTTTCTTGAGGAGGGTCTTGATGTTACTGGTGATCCAGGGTTTGTTGTTTGGAAAGCAGTGTACAGCTCTTGCTGGTATTACAGTGTCCATACAGAAGTTAATGTAGTCCATGGTACATTCAACCATTCTATCAAGGTCAGGATCCTTGCTTTTATCATTTTCTTGTGACTCCAACAGGACATTCCAGTCTGTGCACTCAAAACAGTCTCTGGTCTCAGGGATCCAGTGAAGCCAGTCAGGTGAGAGGTGAGAATGACATGGTTCAAATCCCCCGATATTGCAATGAATGCATCAGGGTGCTGGGTCTGTACTCTTGCAACAGTCTCATGAATCACGTAACACGCAACTGTATGCTTTGCTCGTGGTTGAATGTAAACAACAATGGCAACAATGTGTGAGAACTCTTCGGTACATAGTACGGTCTAAGACCAACTGCCAACAGTTCAATATGCCAACAGCAGATCTTCTCCTTCACTGTGATGTGACCGGGGTTGCACCATCTATTGTTCACAAGCAGAACCAGTCCTGTACCTTTATTCTTCCCACTCGCTCTGGCGTCTCTGTCCTCTCATACTGCAGTGAAGCCAGGTAAATCCACACAATAGTCGGGAGTGTTGTTGTTTAACCAGGTCTCCGTGAAACACAAGACTACACTCACGATATGCTCGCTGGTTCTTCACAAGTGGCTCCAGTTCATCACACTTGTTAGCCAGGGAGTTGACATTTCCCATGAGGATCGATGGTAGAAAAGGCTTATATCTCCATCTCCTAGCCTTTAGGTATGGGATGTTTAACTCCAGATCTGGTAAACTTGAAAGCCAGGAGTTCTTCCTTTGTGTACATTATTTTCTCCATCGTCAGACGAAACGACGGCGTAGAATAAAAAAAACAAAAAACATCAATCGACAAAAAATATACTAATATATTCAAATATATTGCAAAAAACTACGAGCTATGTGGACTTGCTGCCACTTGTTGCCAGCGCATCATTTGAAACAACAGTGCAGGAGCGGGGAATTCCTGAGGTGCCAGGCTGCACTGAGCACACAGGAGTGGGCACTGATTTGTGAGGCAGGAGAGAGCAGAGGAGACCTGACAGTGGCATGGCTGGACCCCGGTAATGCCTACGGATCATTTGGCATAAACTGGTGGAGTCTTACTGACAAAACCCAAGTCCCAGGGGAATCACCCTGCACTGGTACAGTGTCTGAGAGTCACCTCTGTAGCAAAATCTGCATGGCATCACCTGGAGAAGGGAATCATAACTGACTATGCAATTTCACTGTCCTTTTTTGCCTTGGTGATTAACATGCTTGCAGAGTCTGCAGAGGTAGTGTTAAGTAGGGATGGCACGATCATGTTATTTTGCCGCCAATACGATTATCTATGAGTGAGATCTGCTGGTCCACAGCCGAAACTGATCATTTTTGGCATGCGTTGCAGGTGGTGTACTTTATATCAGTCTCGCACGCTTCGTAAAAGTTCCACACGGCCAATGTCTTGTTTTGGTGGCCTGTCACGTGCCGGCGCAGTGAACAAGGTGGGAGGCGGGACTACACTTCACAGCACACAGTGCTTCTTTCAGCCATAGACACCAGAGTATTGACTACAGGTGATCGGTTTTAAGATGACCGTTGACCAGGAGCATTAATACTGATCTACGGTTAACATATTTATGAAAATCGGCTGATAATAATCAGCGGCCAATCAATTGGGGAATCCCTAGTGATAAGACCCCCTCTCCAGATCATGCACCTGGCAACCTCCAATCAGAGCCTTCATGGATGAACTTACTGTGATGACAACATCATCTTGAAAGGGTTATTTCATCGACTAGAATGAGCTTCAAGTCAGCTAAGTTCAGGCCCTTAGTCCTGAAGAAGAATGACCACCACTTCTCTTTGGGAGGCGTCCAGATTAGGGATGGGTACGAGTACTCGAGTACTCATTGTTGATGTCATTATTCAAGTAGCATTTCACTACTTGCACACCTGTGCAAATGTTGGCTTTGGCTACAGTATTTCAACTCAGTTGGCGTTACGTGCACCATGGCAGCCGTGACCAGGAAAAGTGATGTCTGGAAATACATTGATCAAAAAGATGACAATAATATGCAGTGCAAGACAATCAGTAGGCTTGGTCAGGGAGGTCCGTGTCCGAGTGGAAACACAAGTGGAACCTTTAAGCTTGTGTTTCCGCTTGGACACGGACCTCCCGTATTTCTTTTTTTAAGGTAAAAATACATTTATATATAATTTTTAAGTACTCGTTCATAAAGTAATGAGAGTACTTGAATATTGAAATTACTGAAAATGCCCATCCTTAGTCAAGATTCCATCTGTGACAGAGAAGCCTGGGCAAAGCCTTTGACCTCTAAGAACCCTGAAGGACACTGCAGTGGTCCAGGCAACCAGTGAGGAGCTTAAAGCAAGGTTATTAACAGTCTGGACTTTCAGTGAAGTTCAAAGCCTGGATCCACGATCACTTCACTGCTGTTCTATGAAGTCCCATTGACCACCGTGAAGGGCTTCAAGATCAAAACATCAATCAGTTTCTATGCAGGTAGCTCAGCCTTTCCAAGAGCCTGAGCAGCGTAGATCTGAATGGGCGCACCAACAAGCTTCAGCTTCCTTTCACCAGCCTGGCTAAGAAAATTAGGGTCACTCGTGCCAAAGAGCTGATGCATAACAGAGGCTCCGCCGACTCCGAAGTCTCATTAACTAGCCTCAAAGTAAGAACAGGAAGGAAATGATGGTGTATGAGTGCAACAAAACATCCTAGTGGGATTTGTGACAAGCCAGACTCGGCAGAAATATAAGTCCTTGCTTTGATAAAGCCCATGGGAAAGAGAGGCAAAAGTGCAGAAGTTGAGGAATGCTCTAGCAGGATAGTGGGCATGCATTAGCTGGGAGCATGGATAAATTGGAAGCATGCACATAAATGTAAGATTACCTGGACAAAGCACTGGAAGTCAGAACCACTGTGACTCAATTTTCTGATCCAGTCAGTGTATGACTTCCTCCCATCATTCACTACAGAAGTCTAGTAAACACTCCAGCATGCCTGCTGTGCCTGCAGAGATGGCCCTTTAAACACATCCTGAGCAAATGCCCACTAAGCCTTGAGAGAGTGGCAGTATTGTTGGTGCCATGATCAAGTAGTGAGGGAAGTAGCAAACACCATCTGCACAGGAATCCACCACAGCAAGCAACAACTCCCAACAAGGTATGCCATCGCCCTTATTACAGCAGGGGAGAAGCCCCAACCCAAGCTCAGGGCTCAGTGGACTGCTTGCAACAACACGTGACTGGCAGTTAAAGGTCAACCTAGAGAGGCAGTTCAAATTCCTAGAGAGCGTTACATCTTAGGAAACAAAACTTGTGGTTCTACTGTCACTAACTGGTTCGGAAGACCAGATAGAGGAGACCTGTGAGCTTGAAAGGGGTAAGTACCACCAACTGGTAGCCACATGCCAGAGGCAGTGATGGAAAGCTGTTGTGAGCCTATTGAAGTGCAGGCCAGTCTCTACATTAGGCTCCTGGGAATACCAGGTTTCCACAGTAGAGAGCCACACAAAGATTACTTGAAACCCCTGAAAAGGCTTTGGATCGAGACAGGTGATCCATGGTGTGGCACAGTAGCTACTTAGATACAAGCTGGGTACTGATCACCCCAAGCTGAGTCGCACAGGGAAACACTTTATGTTTTCTGGAGCATCACCAATGTGTCCAAGTTGCACCTCCTAGGTGTATTGTATCCTCATGGAAGTGAATAACAGCAACACACCACAGAGGCAATTGATAAATGATCTGTAGATTATTTTTGAGTTGATGTTAAATGGACAATTGTATAATATATTACCAAGTTCACATGTGAAAGCATGCATAATATTCTCTTTCTTTCACTAGTGGTGGCGTTTTAACTTAATGCTGCACTGGCTGAAATGTATGGAAGCGTAATGCATTCACTTAAGAAAAAAAATCTGCTCTGTTTTCCTGAATTAAAGAGATCATTATCTCAGTTTGACTGAGTTGAAGAGCAGTTAGAGAAGGTACAACTGAGCAAATGACTAGATTTGTTTAAAACTAACAATTCAGCACTTAGTTTTGACTTTTAAGTCAAGTTATGAACAAATTTACAATCAGCTGCTGGTCCAGGCTGCTGATATTTAATGATAGTGTTGCATTTTTCCCGAGCTAGCAGTGTTGTCTATGGATGGGAATCATGTTTGACTTGGTCCAGCCTGAAATATCTAAACAACTATTGGATGGATTTCCATAAATACCAATTGGTACAGCTATATCACAACTACATATAATCAACTGTGCCTCTAAATATCAACTAAAACAGTAACAATTAAGGCAACAGAGATAAATGTAAAAACAACAAAGTAGCATTTTGAAAAGTGACTGGAAAATGTCCCCTGTCCCATTCATACAGAATAAAGCCTGTTACACTGTATGTATGGCCTTTTGTCTAGCACTACCTCTAAGTAAACTTTAAAATGTTTAGATCCACAGTTGCGAAATCATTATTATGATATAAACTGTTGTTTATATTGAATTGCTCTTTATTATCAGATATCAAAAGTCTGATTTTGTCTTGTTGCATTTCCTGGCTGACTGCATGTTACCTGACTCAGAACCATCATCTTGTTTAACAGTCGAATGTCTAATATACAGTACATATCATACACTGATGAACCAAAACATTATGACCAGAATGGGCATTCTAACTGGCTCATATGCAGCAGGGTGCGATTAAAAGTGTGTTGTGACACATTCTCCACATACCTGTCATTCAAATTTTCTACAACTTGTATCGCAGCAGCTCTTCTGTTAGTTCAGACCAGATGGGATAGTCTTTGTGGCCATCACACATCAATGGTGTCGGTCTGTGGCACATTTATCTGTCTTCAGACCACTGTTTGGTAAGTACTCACCATTGCTGACCAGCAGCCCACAAGCCTTGCAGTTTTGGAGATGATGTGACCCAGTCAGGCCATAACAATTCGGTCCTTGTCAAAGTTGCCAGGTCTTTACGCCTGCCCATTTATGTCGTAATGTTTTGGCTCATTGGTGCATACTAAGCATTAGCCTATGCTGATATAGCCTATATTCCAAAGTAACAGTCAAGAGTGTGTGTGTGTGTGTGTGTGTGTGTGTGTGTGTGTGTGTGTGTGTGTGTGTGTGTATGTTGCAGGTGGAAAAGGACAGCTCCAGTTCAGAGCCCTACCTCTGTGTGTCTGACTTTGTGGCCCCTGTAGATAGCAGTGTGGCAGACTACATTGGTGTGTTTGCTGTGGGTGTGTTTGGAGCTGAGGAGCTGAGTCAGCAGTTCCAGGCTCAGGGAGACGACTTCAGCAGCATCATGGTCAAAGCTCTGGCTGACCGCCTGGCTGAGGTACAGTACGGACAGTGTCCTAACACACCAGGCCTCTATCACTGTTCCATCACTGCTGGTATCACACGGGTCAGTGGTGCTGAATGACAGATTAACTGTTGGTGTCATGATGTTTCTTTGGTTTCTGTTAAAACCAACTGTTTATCCTCCAGGCGTTTGCTGAGGAGCTCCATGCTCGAGTGCGTAAGGAGCTGTGGGGCTATAGTGCTGATGAAACTCTGCAGGCCTCAGACCTACACAGAGTTCGGTACCAGGGCATCAGACCTGCAGCTGGCTACCCCAGCCAGCCTGACCACACTGAGAAGACCACCATGTGGAGCCTGGGTGGTATACACAACAAGACCGGTGAGAGCACTAAAAACCACTCATAAGTGCAGCTGAAAGGCTCCCAATGCTGCTGTATCCTTCCCTCACACAGCACGCAGTTGTGGTGTTTTCTTAGTGGCTTAAACAACAAAATAAAACCACGTTGTTCAGTTATTACATTTCTCTCTCTTTGTGCGTAAGGCAGAATCATGCAAAAAGGTAAAGTGTTTACAAGATGTGTTTTAAAACACATCCCAGTGTGGTCAAGATGGAAGCTGGATGTTTGCTGTGTGTGGAAGGGCTTGTATTATTGCAGACATGCAGAAAATGTGTTAACAGTCACATTGTAGAGACTTACTTTCCTTTTGGGGACAAAAAGTTAAAAAATTTAAATTTTAGAGTAAGGACATTTTGTGTACCTGTGTTTATTATGTGGGTATTAATGCGCTTTGCTGTACACATATGTAATAACTGTGTCATTGTATTATAATATGTGTTCTCTCTGTGTGTAGGTATTGGTCTGACAGAATCCCTGGCCATGACGCCCGCAGCGTCAGTGTCTGGGCTTTACTTCTCCAACCCTCAGGCTTCATACTTCGCTGTGGGAAAGATCACCAAGGAGCAGGTTGGACTAACCATCCACACTTTAAACTGCTGTAATTAACTAGACACAAGATTTCAGAATGAAATATCAAGCACTTCTCTAGACTCACCATTTTCCAGTGTTAAAATAAAAGTAATAAAAACCATGTCATTATGCTATTGCATTATGATATTGAGATATTATAATATCTTAATATAAAGCGGGCTGTCTTTATTATGATATGTGTAACTCTTGGCTGCTTGGCAGATGAGTCACTTTTGTATTTACTATGTGGAGGCTCGGAAAACCTGTCACTTAAACTATTAGAAACTCCTGAAACTGAGCTTCTTCAACTCACTATACAGTAAACAACAAAAAGCGCTGGCTTCTAAACCAGCAGGGTTAACAACCAAAGACCAAAATTGAACCTCAGGCAAAGTCTGGAAAAACACCCTCCTTCACGCAAGGAGTATCATACGTGCAGGAAACACGCTGCATTCTGACCCACCCACTCAACTCAGCCCTCGTCCTCCACATATGTCACCTCCGGACAATCAGCAAAATAGATCCACCTGTGCGCAGCTCATCCTCGTCACTGGAGGAGGCGCAATACCTGGAATGAGAGAGAGTAGCAGCACCAGACAGCCACTGGGGTCGTAACAGCCAGTCTAACAACATTAAAACTACAAACAACCCAAAATACACTCTGTGTACCTGTGTAGCTACAGATGCTCCATTGGTATTTTCTTCAAACGAAAAGAACATCTGATGTTGAGTAAGTGCTGTGAAAATGTACATTATTGTACAATTATCAAGACAACAGGTAAACAAGGAAGGATATTTTGGTGGTTATGTTTTTCGACTGGTCTCACTCATTTGTAAAAGGAATGTGGCTCTCATTCACGCAAGGCTGTATACCAAATTTGGTATTGATAAAGTAAAAATTCGAAAAATTCTATTTATTTTACTGTTTTTAATGTTATGCTACTTAGCTAAAATTCCATATTGGTAGTCAGCATTATCACAGAGGCTTCTTGTAGAGAATATTGAATTTTAGGTGTGAGGTAAAGTGGAAGACAATGGGACTCTCGGTGTAGCGGGGGCAGCCTCTCAAATTGTTTACAATTTTGATTCTTAATTATAGTGCCACAATATGGCCAAATGGGATCATATGTTTTGTGAAGCATTTACACACCATTTTGAGTTCAGGGTTAGAGCCCTAATTATGTTTTAAACCTTAAATGCATACCTTGGGGCTGTCTAATTAATTTAGATTCATTTTCAGATTCATGCAGATATTGGTGAGGAGCTCCAGTTAAAGTTCACATCAAACATTAGAATGACTGTGACATAATTGTTGGTGTCAGATGCTGGTTTGAGTGTTTCTCAAACTGCTGAGTTTTTACTCAGAATGGAGCTAAAGACACAAAGCATCCAGTACGTCCAACCTACAACAGCAGAGACCACATCGGGTTCCACTTCCTGTCACCAAGAACAGAAACCTGAGGCTGCAAAGGACACAGACTCACCAACACTGGGCAGTTGAAGACTGGAAAAACCTGGACTGCCAGAGTCAGAATTCAGTATCAACAACATGAATGCATGGACCCAACCTGCCAGTTCTCAAACCTGTTCCATGAATCCGACAATGAGTTCAGTGAACTGCCCAGTGAGCAGGAGATTAGCAGCATGAATGTGCAGCTGACAAATCTGCAGAGAAGTTGATGAAATTATATATTGTGTATTTGTTATTGTTAGTGAAAAGCAATTTGATTTGAATGTCTTAATCTGGTTTATATGAGCACCAGGTCTCTAGTTACCCAAGATATGTGAAAGCCCACTCAAGCATTCAAGGGTTAAATCAGTCAAATAAAAAACTATTATATGCTTATGTCAGTATCAATGTCGGTCTTTGTAGAAGGTAAAATTATAACACTTACACAATTACACAAATTAAATGGAGGAAGGAGCCAGACTGGGATGACCCTTTAAATTGTAAGGTGACAGATTTTTAAGAGCAAGGACTGAGGACACAGAACCAGGCTGAACTTGTATTTTCTCTGCTCTTCTTGTCTTCAGGTGGAGGACTACGCCAGGAGGAAGAACATAAGTGTGGAGGAGGTGGAGAGATGGCTGGCTCCTGTACTGGGCTATGACAGTGAAGCGTAGGGCAACAGTCTACATCCATTTTCTCATCTCACTGTGAGAAAGAAAGTGAAGGAGCACATTTTGCTTCTAATGTTGAATTCATCCTTTAATGCAAACAGCTTTTAAAGAAATTTTCTTCTGAAAAAAACAAAAAACACTAAGAATCTGTTACATTCAGTGCCAGTTTTCAATATGTGACATTGGTGTTACGGACCAATTCATATGCCACTTAAACAGCATCGACATAAACAGCCTGGACACATGGTTTATAAATGTTATTGATCTCACATAAGTTTTAGAATTGTATGTGGAAGTGAAAGTTTAGGTCTTTGCATAGAGATTGCATTTATTCAAAATTTTTTATTTCTTTTTAGTATCATTTCATTGTTTTCTGTGGAACCTGTAGTGTACCACATTTCACCTTTTCAGTGTTTGATTATGATTGATTACTTGATAGGCACATTCAAAAACAATATATGCAGTAATACATTTTTCAATTAAATGGTGTGATTTAAAAACTTTTTAGAAACTCATTGTAGATGATAAAAAAGAAATCAGAAATCAAAAGTTCTAAGTCACGATCTGTAACAAGATCATTTAAAAACAAATTTCTGCTGTTCCACTGACACTTAGGACTTTCTGTAGTTTTCCATTTTGTAGTGCTTTGTCCACTTTTTCCACTTTTTTGTGGATCAACCTACAGAGCAGTAGGAGGTGCTCTCATTGGTCAGCCATCATTTCAGAGCGCCCGTGTCACCTTCCTGTTTCATCTGTGTGGGTTTAGTTTTTGATGTGACACATTTCTGCATGGCCTCAAACTGTAGTGTGGATGAACCTGTCAAATACAGTATGGAACATTGAAACAAGACTTTTTCCCTTATCAGCCTTTATTATGAGTAACTTACCAGCAGTTGAAAACTTTGTTTGTGCTGACCTCCAGTGGTTTAACTTTTCACCTAGCTGTAGTGAGGTAAAGTGCACTTTGTCGTGTCATAACGCTGTGACATCACTGGTGGGTGTGGTTACAGGCAGTGATAGTTGCTATAGCCATGTGAACTTTGAGCCAGAGACAGCAGTAAAATTATTGTTTTCCTTCAATTAAGTTATTCTTTACAATCCTTTTTGTACAACATTTAAAATTCATTAATTTGTCATTCAGATGCTCAATGATAAAAACATTCAGTAATTTAATAAGAAAAATATATTTTTTCAATTACTTCAATTTATTGTTAATTGTATCAATCCTCATATAAGCTTCAGGCCTCCAGATATTTGAAGCTACAGCAGTCACAGTAACAGCATTTTTTCATAGATAACTTGTTTCACGTTGCAGTGTCAGTATAACTTCAACTAGAAATAAGTTCATTATTTTAATCTAAGGTACTAGTGTTTGATTAGCTGGTTGGTTGTCTGTTTACACTGTAATTTCTTTTTTGTGTAGTCTGTGAGGTTTTATGAATGGTTTGTCTTCCAGACATCGTTTCATAATGTTGAGGAATCAATAAACTGGGACACAATTACAGATGAATATGGGTATTTTAGTTAATGTTATATTGAATAATGTTCATGTTTTCAAAAGATTCAGTATTCATATTCAGTTAAAAACTCAGTGTCATCATGTAAGAACAAACTTGAACATAACTTGTCCTGTGATAATATGAAAACAAACACTTTCTGTTTACTGGAGGTTCATGGCGTAAAAACAAATGGCATTTATCATTCATGAATGTTATATGTTGGTAAACTTGGTTAACTCTTTTCCACATCCCTTTTCATTTCAGTTTCCTCTTGGTGTCCTTTTCCCCAGTGTAAAAAGGCTTTTCACACGCTGAAGTACAACTAGTTTCTCATCCACATCCACATACTGTTTACATGTTGTTTTATCAACTGTATTGTGTATGGACCATTCAAATTATCTACTTGTTCTATGATCCTGAAACATTTCCACATGGGTCAAAGTAAAAAAACAAACCAGGTGTTTCTGAAAGAATCAGGCTCAGGTGCATTTCACATGTGTCTTAAAAGCCCTGATGTGCTGCAGTGGCTAATCTCTGTATGAAGCTTTGTTTCACTTACCTACAATGAAAAAAAAACAGAAAAATGATGGTGCACTGTAAAACAGTATTGACATGACAGTGTTATTTTATTAAAAATAATAGTGGCAACACCATCTTTTGTCTGTCTTTCTGCATTTAGACCTCAGGAGAGTCTTTCTATACAGTATATTGTATTTGTAGAGTCCCGGCCACAGCACTTCAAATTAATAAGAACAAATATTATTATATTTTAATGTTGAGATACTAATTCTTATTTTTCTACCATAGACTTGTTCAGTATCTAGTAGCTTAGATACTAATTTAGTACATAAAGTAAAATAAAAATAAACTGTTTTCTTCTTTGTTTTTGGGTTTTTTTTTTGTTTTTTTTTTGGGGGGGGGGGCAAACCGCTCGTGCGCACGCTCGCTCATACCTGTACAGCTCCTCCCTCGTTTAGCGCGCGCCATCCAATGAGAGACGAGTTTTACAGTGCGTTAGCTTCTGCTGTCTCGAACACACACACATACACACACACTCACACGCAGACCCAGCCTGTACTTCACACGCAGACACACCACGAGCATCTCCGTGTGAACGCTGACCATGGCTGAAGGAGGAGAAGGCGAGGATGAAATCCAGTTTCTGCGGACTGTAAGTGTTACTCTCGAGTCTGTAGAGCCGAATATCACCGCTGTGCTGGGTGTTAATGCGGCTTTCTGCGTGGGTGTGTGTGTGTGTATGTGTGTAGTGTGGGCAGGGAGTTTACCGCATTAAGGATGACAGCTCCTGTAGATACCAGTCATTGGTCAGTGAGTCCGCATCATGCTGACAGAGGACTGGAAGGATGGAAGAGGTGTGAAAACATACTGACAGCGGAGGAAGAGGAGAGACGGTGTTGGTTGCGTTTGTTGTGGCCAATGTTGCTGTCATTGTGTCACAGAGAGGAGCTCAGCAGCGCGCAGGCTGTGTGTAGTCGCTGGTGTGTGTTGGGTGGATGCGGGGCGCAGTGCGGTGCAGACTGGCAGCATGAAGCCTGCTGCATCTGCTTCACTTCCTTTCGATCAGCCTATACACGGTGCCCTGTGTGTGTGTGCGTGGTCTCATGTTAATCATATAATAAAGTCAAATTGTGTTCAACATGAGAGGAGCTGTTGCTTTGCAAAAAGTCACGTGAAAAATCACACGTGAATTCACTGCACCTGAGTATTTACTTTTTAAGGGCACATCAGCCTACAGAATGTTGTCGATGATTAATGATTGATAATGATTATGTGTGTAAATGAATATGACATTTAAACTGAAGCCTGATGTGCAGACTTCCTCTGCTGGGGTTGAGATGATCTCTTTGATGCCAGGTCTCCTTGTTTTTGTCAGTGTCAGTATCTTCACAGGAGGATTACTGCAATGACTCAATTCTAGAAAATACATGGAAGAAGATTAAGGAGATTGTAGAGTTTGGGGGTGCTATGCTTTAATATATCCAGACAAACTGCATTTTAAAGCTGCACCGATCCATTTTTTTTTTAACAATGGATGGAATGACTGTATGTAACGTAGAAGGAGTCACTCATAGTGAGAACCCTTCAGGTTATCTCCTGACTGTTGCTTTGCCTGAAAACAAGACAAAAGCCATGATATATGTTTTTGTACAAAGTCTGAATTTCTGCCAGACCAGATTAACATGGCTCAACGCAGTCATGTCAACTAGCATCTTCTCAGTAGAAATGGTCAGTGTCACGTTTAGATAGAGCACAGCTATAGTTCTGCACACACTGCACTGCACTACTGTGATGAAGACACCGCTGAGCCCGAAGCCAAAGCTCTGGGTTTACGTTCCACTGCGTGAGTCACTGATGGTGATGAGCTGTGGGTACTGAGTGAAACAAAGTCTGATACATGCTGCAAATGAGTTTCCTTCACAGGGAGTCTGTGCTCACACATTCAGATAGATCTCAGATTAAGACCTGGGCTTTTTTGCATTTGCTGATGCAGTTCAGTTTCATCAGGATTCCTCTCAGTTGACTCCCTCTGGGTATGTTCAACTGGGAGGGGGTCACCCAAAACATATGGAGGGTTTAGCCTAGCCTTGGAGCACCTTAGTAGATGTGGCTGTGGAAAAGGATGCCTGTGCTTCTACAGTTTATTCTGTTAGTGTGTAGACCCAGGCCCTGAGAAACAGCTGAAAATGGATAGAGGATATTTGGAAACCAGAGTTCTTCTACACACATCTTTTAAATTAATATGGGGATTTTTCTACATTTTTGATGTAAGGACAGAGCTACTGCAGTGGAGCTTCCTGGTTACTATACAGACTGGCCTCCAACAGGGCACCATCACCATTTCAGCATGTGGGAGCCTCTGAGCCATGGCCTGCAGTGTGAGGTGCTGCTCTGTTGGCAAGGATCATCTAATTCGTATACACACTGACTGAAGGCTCATGATAAACTGGTGGCTGCAGTTTCATGTTTTCATTTTACTTTGGTTGGCATGGTGTCTTGCTTTATAACCTTTTATTTTTATAAAATTTAATTTGATTTAAAAAATATTATGCAGTATTATGCCAAAAGTGGAGCATAATTGTTGATACAGAAATGTGTGCCTTACATAAAACACCTATCATATTAGTTAATGTTTCTGAGAATATTTCTGGTTATTATTATAGTCAGTGTGTAATGGCATTAAAATACCAGTTACAAAATCATTGGTTGTGTATGTTTAATTATATTTTGTTTAGTTTTCAAAAGAATATTCACAACAGAACAGAATGAACACACAAACAATGACAAATGTGACTAAAAACATTGAAACAGTTAAAGTTAATTGGCAACAGTTTAAGTTAACATTTAAGTCACTTTAAAGGAAGTGTGAAAATTCCAGCTTTTTAAATGTGGAGATTTGAAATTGTGAAATCTTTGAATATGTTTGGACTGCTGTTCAGACAAAACAACATATTTAAATATTTAAACTTCAACTCTGAAAAACACTGTCTGGCATTTTTAACTATTTTCTGACATTTTAGAGTTATAAATTCAATCAAAACTATAATCTGCAGACTTATTTATAATGAGAATAATTATTTGCAGCCTTAAAATACATGCACCCAAAGAAGATTAAAAGCATAAAAAAATAAAGATTGACCCAGTCATATATTTAAAGGGGACCTATTACGCTTTTCTGATTTTTCCTTATGTATAGTGTGTTATAGGTTGTTGTGCATGTCAATGGTCTCCAGAGTTACAAGGATCAAAGTTTACATCAAAGGGAGTAACAGGGGAAAAACCCAATTTTCTCCTTTGTGTGAAACGCCTCATTGGGGGTCCAGATATTACTTCCTGGTCCTATTGACGTCAGTACATCCCCTGGTGCTGCCTACCTGCAAGCTGGACACCTCCTGCAAGCTTGGCACACCCCCACACAAGGTACAGCACATAACTACTTATAATGAAGAATTTCCATTAGTTTTGTAGCCATGCCAAAAAAACAGTGTTCTTAATTTCCTGCAGAATTTTTTCCAGGGTTCTCCAATGCTCCAAACATTATAGTGTCAACACTCACTTCAAGGAGGACTGCTTCAGAAACCACGCACAGTTAGAGCTTCATTTTCACAACGGTTATTTCTGTAGTTCATTCTTAATGTGGCTGGTGGATGTTAACCGCCTTACCGCGACCTGATCATGTTAGTAAGAAGCAGCATAGCAAAGATATAAATGCTTAAACGTTTGTCAGTATTGCTGTACCTCATTAGTTCAGATAAATTATCCACAGTTTAACTGCTGAGTTTATTTTTCAGTAACTATGCGCACTAACGTTAAATTAATTCAGATTTACCAGCATCGTAAACCAGCAGGAGGTGAAGCGGTGGAGACTCGCTACCTGTGGACTGTCTGTCTATTCCTCCATTTTTTATATTCCTTTAGTCTGGAAGTGTCCACACATAAAAAATCAATAGGGTTTCTCACAAAAGTATTCCAAGTTATGAATATTGTAATCCGAAGTCTTTGCAGACTGTCTAGCGTGTGTTCATATCTCTCCCTCCTTCCTGCTGCGGGACAGTGGCTACTCTTGTTTTCTGCTCCAGTCTGGCTTGTGAAGGTGGATCGGGTCTGTCATTTTCTGGTTCAGGATTGGACTCTTGCGCAAACTGACAAGACAGAACCGAAGCCGCCACAACTGTCAACCATTGCCATAGTAGTTGCATGCAAGCTAACCAATCAGAGCACACTGGCCCTTTAAGGGGGGCCTTAAAGAGCCCTGAACTCTAATAGAGCCTTTCAGACAGAGGGCGAATAGAGTACAGTATACAAAGTACAGAGGAAGAAAAATAATGTCTTTTCAGAACAGTAAAGCATGTAAATCTATTTTAGTCGACACCAAGAATGAAATGATGAACATTAAAGATGCACATAATAGGTCCTCTTTAAAATTCTTAGTAATTCAATGAATGGGGACACTAAAAGATCAGAATTCAATAGTGCATGAAGCTTAATACATTTTCCTGCATATTGTATTTAATTATGGCAACTTTAACAAAGCAACTAATTGTTAAGTGGAAACTAGGTGATATTGAAAGTCCACCCAGTATACTGCATCCTGTAACCACAGGATAACACTTTACATTTTACCATCTGTTGACTATTAAAGCAATATCACACTCAAGGTTGTGATGTGAATATCGGCACGGAATTCGGTCACAGGTGCGAGGCTGCAGGCCGAGTACTGAAGACAATCACAGCCGTGCTGATATTCAGTACAACATCACGACTTTGAGTGTGATATTGCTTAAATAGTCAATAATAAAAGTCAACAATAGTCAACATTATATATAAGCCTGCTTTTATACAACAGTGCTACGGGTGCCATATTAGTTATGTGTCAATATCAAGCCAAATATTTTTTTCATTTGCATGGACAGATTGCATTTAGTGAATTTAGTTAAGCTTCTTTATAGGTCTGGGTTATTTTTAAGTTAGTTTGCCTTTGATTTGTGATGTTTACTGAAAACTGTTCCCACAGCATAAAATTGAAATATTTCCAGCAATTCACAGCCACTGAATATTTCATATAAAGTTAATGATAAGGTATTGAATACTTTTTGGTTTGTTTGAGAGGTAAAACTGTGTCATCAGGTTATTTTTGGAACGCAACAGCAGTGCCAGCCCTATAATCATGAATGTCCATGCCTGACTGAGTGACAGTTGACTAATCATATTTCCCCCGTTGGTCAGCCAAATGCCACGTGATTGAGTTGGAGTTTCCCCATTAGCTGTTGCTCTTTCAAAATGAATCAACACAAACAGTTTATTTTAACACATTTGTCGCTAGTTTCTAGAGACTTTTTTCAAAAAAGGACCCAGATGCAAATCTTAGCCACTTAGAAAAAAATTACTGTCTTTGAGAGACAAAATAAGGAAGATATTCTGTTGCTTCTAACTTCTCTCTGAGTGATCATTTTAAAGTAAATCTAGCTGAAATCACAGTACAACCGTTGTCTTTAACTTGAGTGGTGATTTTGTCAGACGTCATGGTTATAAAGTCCAGATTTTAGCAGCGCAGAGCAGCAGCTTGGAAATGACTTGGTAGTTAACATGTAGTCTTTATGGACGACGTTTCAGTCACTGTTCCATACTTGTTGTCATGTCTTGTCTGAAAAC